ACAGGTTGTGCCACAACAGGATTACTGTCACTTTTTAACTGGATTATATCAGCCTTTTAACAGTACCCGCGGTAAACCAGCCTGCCCACATACGCCACCAATGGACACCGCTGCCCCCCCGAGAACTCATACAACAGATCTACAAATCACACCATGCTTCAATTCTTCCCATTCCAACCACATAAACGCAATTGACCCCCGAGGAAACGTCAACGCATGTTTTCACAACAATCACACAGAACTCATACATAAAGAGAAAACATCTGGAACATTTCATGACATCTCATTCAGCAGATCACAGCAAATATCCCTCCTCCGTACTTAGACATCACAGCTCGCTACCAAATCATCTTCACGTCACGACCTCTCTACTTGTTTTTACCGCATGTTCCTTTTGCGGCGACGCGGCTTCTGCCATCGCTGACGTGCTTTCACTAAAACAACCACCACGTGCAGCCCATGCCTACAACAAGGTCTGCAAAACAACGACGTAAGTCAGGCTGCCATATGAGTCTGAGTCGGATATGTGCTCTTCAGCTTCACAACTCATATATCGATTCCGCTCAGTCCGTACACTCATTGAAGAGACTACAGCTAACGGACTACGATTGCCTGCACTCTAGCCCAGCTGTCCATCCCTCCTGGCGCGTTCCCGATGTATCTCACAAAAAGGGTTCCGGGATAGGGTTCGGGCTCTACACTGTTGTCTTGCCGTAACAGCTCTGCGTGTTCTCACTGCACGCTGCTCACGGGCTATCCTAGCCGACATTAGAACTCACATGGCCCCGCTGTGCATGATCTAGCAGGAGCAACTGCAGTTCTGCGGAGATATGACGCCATTCTTCACTTATATCAGACCGTGTACGACGGACGTGCATGTTGTGGCACTCGACAGTCGCAGTGTCACGCAGGACCAACTGCGGGAAGCCCCGGGGGGATCTCTGTGCCCTAACGTGGCGCAGGATACCTCCGGGAGCGCTGTCCCTGCTGTGGGAGGGTCCGTGTGCTCTGACGCGGAGGGAATCCCCAGAGGCGCTGCACAGAGCAGGTCCTATGCTGAGGTGGCCGCGGGGGGGTCTCTGCGCTACATCACGGCGCAGAGTCCTCCCGTGGACGCTGCCTCGCCCGCGGGGGGGTGTCTGCGCTCCATTACGGCGCGGACTCTTCCCGTGGACTCTGCCTCACTCGCGGGGGGGTCTCTGCGCTGTTGCACGGCGAGGAGTTCCCCCGCAGATGCCACCTCGCCTCCTGGTGGATCCCCCCGCCCGGTGCGCGGCCCTCCCACATTCGCCCACACTACCACCACCACCAACCCGGCCACAGTGGAGTCAGTTCGGTCTCCGGATCCTCCACCCTGCTCCACAGCCACTCGTGGCGGCTCCGCTCCGGGCACCCCCCAAGGCTCTCCTGTCCCCTGCTCTCCACCAGGTCCCACCCCAGTCACACCCTCCCCTCCGCGGCCTCTGTTTGCACCAACCACGCTCCTGGTGGGGGATTCTATTATCAGACACTGCAAGTTTTTTAATGCCATCACACACTGTTTTTCTGGAGCCACAGTCCCCACCATCCTCATTAAACTACCCGCACTTATTCAGACAGCACCCTCCACAATAACCCGGATCATAATTCATGTCGGCACAAATGACGCTTCACTCCGCCAATCCGAGACCACAAAACGCCATTTTAAGGATCTTTTTAACCTTTTATCAAACTCAGGGAAAACTGTTTTTATCTCCGGTCCTCTGCCCACTATGAACCGCGGCAGGGAGCGTTTTAGCAGGATTTTATCACTCAACACCTGGCTCAATCAAACATCACTCCATCACAACTTTGGTTTTATAGACAATTTTAATCTGTTCTGGAACCGCTACCCCTTCTTCACACCCGACGGACTTCACATCAACCCACTTGGCAACCGGTACCTGATCTCCAACATCACCCACGCAGTCCAATCCCATCCTACATACCTCTGACAACCCACCCCCACATCCCTCCTGCCCGTCTGTGCCCCAGCATCAACCCCTGCTCTCTTCCCCAGCACAAAATTACAGTTTTGTCCAGACCCCGCCCCTACAGACCGTCCATACCCAGGAAACCGTCCTTCACCAACCTCATCACTGTTTCCCCCTGCCCTCTCTCATCCTCTGCTCCCCCCACTTCGAACTATGGACTCCCCATCAACAATAACAACCCATCTACCATCAGGTTTGCCCTTTTAAATGTACGCTCCCTTTTAAATAAGACTTTTACTGTTAATGATTTGATTTTAGAACACGAGCTGGATGGTATGTTTTTAACTGAGACCTGGCTGGGTCCGGATGCTCCGGCTGTTCTTACAGAGGCCTCCCCCCCCAATTTTAACTTTGCTTTTAAAACAAGAGAAGGAAAGAGAGGTGGCGGCACAGCCTCAATATGCAGTAACACCCTGGCCACCAAACCTATTGTTTTTAACCAATACTCAAGTTTTGAGTACCACTCTCTTGTTTTTAGCAACCCCAAAATTTTAACAGTAATTATTTATAGGCCACCTAAAAAGTGCAGCCTTTTTATTATTGAATTCTCAGCGTTTTTATCACAGTTACACAATTCTTACAATATGATAATTTTAACCGGTGATTTTAACATACACATTGACAATCCCTCTGACAATTTTACCCTAGATTTCTTAGATGTTCTTAATTACATGGATTTTACCCAACACGTCAGACAGCCAACACACAACAGGGGACGCACCCTCGACCTGGTTATTACCTATGGCCTGACTGCGGATGTGTCCTCTGTTGTCGACTTGGCTGTCTCGGACCACTACTGTGTGTTTTTTAACATCACTGGTTTTATACAGCGTGAGACCTCTGTGAGAACCGTGAGGAAGCGACATCTAACCCCTGAAGTGGCTGCAAATTTCATCGACATCCTAAACAACACTCCCCACTTGGTTTTACCTGCCCCCTGTGATTTTATAGCAAATGATTTTAACAGTAGACTTAGTTCTGCGTTGGATCAGGTGGCTCCTTTAAAAACAAAAATCATAAAAACAAAATCTGCACCCCCATGGAGAAATGAAGAAGTACGCAAAATGAAACAAGAGTGCAGGGTGGCAGAACGAAGATGGAGGAAAAATAAAACAACAATCAACTACGAAATATATAAAAACAATCAAAAAGCATACAATTACACAATTAGAAATCATAAGAACAAATACTTTGCAAATCTAATCACCCAGAACAAAAATAATCCAAAAATCCTTTTTTCAACCATCGACACCATTTTAAACCCTGATTTTAGCATGTCTCTTTTAACCCCCACAGACTCCCTCTGTGAGGATTTTGCAGTCCACTTCACGGGGAAGATAAATACAATCAGATGTAACATTTTATCCAACCGCACTACTGTTTTTAACACATCTGATTGTTTGTCTTCGCCAGAGGAAACACTGGACAGTTTTGTCCTGGTTGATGCTGAGATGCTTGATAAAGTTTTCTCCTCAGTGAGGCCCACCACATGTCTTTTAGATCCAGTCCCCACTCCATTTTTTAAGTCATTTTATGAATCTTTTAGAGAGGAGCTTTTAAACCTGATGAATTGCTCTCTTCAGACTGGGGTCTTTCCTGCAGCCTTCAAAGCGGCTGTGGTGAGACCCCTTCTGAAGAAGAGCAATTTAGATTTTAATGATTTTAACAACTACAGACCGGTATCCAACTTACCATTTTTAAGCAAAATTTTAGAAAAACTTGTTTTTACCCAGCTCAATGCCTTTTTAGATCAGCAGCAAATTTTAGAGAAATTTCAATCAGGTTTTAGGGTGAACCACAGCACAGAGACTGCTCTTTTAAAGATTTTAAACGATCTTAGACTAAGTTATGATTTCAAAAAGGTGACTGTGTTGGTTCTACTGGATCTTAGCGCTGCCTTTGATACAGTAGACCACACAATTCTTTTATCACGCCTACAACACCTCGGCCTCTCTGGTGCTGTCCACAAATGGTTCACTTCTTATTTAACAGACAGATCCTTCATGGTAAGTTTGGATACCTGCTCCTCTCAGGTCCATAAAATCACATGTGGTGTGCCCCAGGGTTCCATTTTAGGTCCAGTCCTTTTTAACCTGTACATGCTCCCTCTTGGCGGTGTCGTCAGGAGACATGGAATTAACTTCCACAGTTATGCAGATGATACACAGCTGTACATCTCCATGTCTCCTGATGACACCAGGCCAATGGATGCTCTTTTTAACTGCATTTTAGACCTTAAATCCTGGATGGCAGAAAACTTTCTCCAGCTTAACCAGGACAAAACTGAGGTTTTAGTCATCGGTCCTGAGGCCCAGAGAGAGAAACTTTTATCAAAACTCCAATCACACTCTTTTAATCCATCATCACAAGTGAAAAATCTGGGCGTAATCTTTGACTCTGAGCTGACTTTTATTCCTCACATCAAGAGTATCACAAAAATAGGTTTTTATCATCTAAAGAACATCGCCAGAGTCCGCCCCATTCTCTCTCGGGGCAACACGGAGACGCTGATGCATGCTTTTATCACCAGTCGCATTGACTATTGTAATGCCCTGCTCTCTGGTCTTCCCAAAAAGAACATTGCAAGTCTTCAATTACTCCAAAACTCGGCCGCACGTGTCCTGACTAAGACCAGGGGGCGGGACCACATTACACCGGTTTTAAAATCGCTGCATTGGCTCCCCGTGTGTTTCAGAATCGATTTTAAGGTTCTTTTAATGGTTTTTAAATGTCTTAATGGTCTTGGGCCTTCTTATCTTTCAGATTTGCTTTTATCCTATGAACCTTCCCGGCCCCTGCGCTCCTCCGGCAGCAGACTCCTAACCATCCCCAAAGTCAGGACACACACTCACGGCGAGGCATCTTTCCAGCACTACGGCCCCCGTCTCTGGAACAGTCTGCCGGAGGAGCTCAGGGCCGCAGAGAACGTTCATATTTTTAAAAGTAGGCTCAAGACGCACCTTTTTAGAGTAGCTTTTGATTAGTTTTTATTATTCCATTCTATTTATCTTTTATTATTTATTATTTATTATATTGCTATTGCTATTATTCATGTATTGTGTGTTCCTTTTAGTCTCACATTTTAGTGTTTTACTTATTGTATTGTTTTTAGTGTACCCAGTGTTTCCTCTGGAGGAGCCCTCTGCACCGGGAGCAGTGGTCGGTGTGGCTGCGGGGGTCGGACTCTTGGGCCTGGTGGGGGCCTGGGGCCTCGGTTTCATGTCTCCTCTGGGTCCTGTGTCGTCCCCTGTGGCTACGGGCGGCTCTCTGCTCCTGGTGCAGACGGCTCCTTGGATGACGCTTTTTCAGCTGGTTGCATCTGAACCCTGCCAAGTCTCTCATCATGTTTTTATTGTTTTACTGGTGTGTGTGTGTGTGTGTGTGTGTGTGTGTGTGTGTATGAGTGTTCATGAGCACGGGTGTGTGTGTTTGTCTGTGGTTTGGGGGGGGTCTGTTGGGTGGTCTGGGGGAGGGGTCTTGGGTCGGCGGGATTGTTTTTAACCAATCTGTAAAGCACTTTGTGTTGCATCTTATGTATGAAAAGCGCTTTATAAATAAAATTTGATTGATTGATTGATTGATGTAGGAAGGTGAGAGGATCAACAGAAGAACAGCGCATGGCAGATTTGCCATCAGACAGAATAGATCCGTCCCCGCCCTTTACGTACACCGGACTAGATTGTTTTGGTCCCTTCCACACGAAACAAGGCAGGAAAGAATGCAAACGTTATGGACTTTTGTTTACATGTTTAAGCTCAAGAGCCATACACGTAGAGATGTTAGAGGATCTTTCCACTGATTCGTTTATAAATGCACTGAGATGCTTTATTGCGATCAGAGGAGAAGTGAAGCAGATTAGGTCCGATCAAGGAACAAATTTTGTCGGAGCTAATAACAAATTCAAAAGATGTCTTTCCGAACTAGACAATGACAGGATTGCTACCTACTTAGCTAAAAAACAATGTGACTTTCAGATGAACGTTCCCGATGCCAGTCACCGAGGTGGTGTTTGGGAGCGCCAAATCAGAACAGTTAGGAGTGTTATGAGTTCTGTTCTGGCACAAGCCGCTGGAAGGCTTGACGATTCCTCCTTAAGAACTATATTTTACGAGGCAATGTCAATCGTAAATAGTCGTCCACTTACCACTGAGACAATCAATGATCCAACAGATGTCTTACCTTTAACGCCTAACCATTTACTCACCATGAAGGATGCAGTGCCCCTTCCACCTCCAGGTAGATTTGTCAGAGAAGATTTATATGCCAGGAAAAGATGGCGCAGAGTTCAGTATCTGACAGAGCAGTTTTGGCATAGGTGGCGCAAAGAGTACTTAAACAGTATCAGTTTAAGACAGCAGTGGCATACATCCAAAAGGAATGTACAGGTTGGAGATGTAGTTATACTCAAAGAAGACAACATCCCCAGAAATGAATGGAAACTTGCAAAGGTAGTTCAGGCTAACCCAGATGATGATGGTTTAGTGCGAAAGGTTAAGATCCAAATGGGACAGAGAGCGTTAGGAAAGAATGGTCAACGCTTAAAAGAATTGTCTTTTCTCGAACGACCAGTTCAGAAACTAGTGGTTCTAGTGCAAAACGAGTGAAATGTTCAATAGTAAATATAGAGTTCAGAGATTTTTTATGGTCAAAGTTTTGAAAATTACTACATTTTATTTTGTGTAAATACAAAGATTTTCTGTAATTTTGGTGGCAGTGTAGCTGTCCGTGAACATTTTTGTTTACATGTATCTTTATTCTGTATATAATCTGTTTATAATAGTGTATTTATTGTGTGTCGCTTCTGACCTCTTGTGGTGGGGTTGTGAACTTGTATTACCTGTGCAATATGCGCATGCGCGCATTTGGAGCCATTACGTGAGAGACAGAGCGAGAGAATGGCGAAAAGGATGGACAAGGTAACCTTGTGCTGAACCGAAAGTAAGGATATGGACAGCGAAAAGTACTGACAACTCCAGAGTGTCTAGATAGAAGGCGCACACGGTAATTGTATATTGTTTTATTGTAAGTTTGTTGAATATGTGTGTATTTTGCTAACAATATGTTTTTTATGCACCGTAGTTTTTCACGGTGCTTTAGGTGGCTTTGTTGTAAATAAATGTCAACTAAACATCAGTCAGAGCGTCGGCCTTTTATCCAAGCAATAATTTCTGGAGCCGTTATAATTATTATCTTATGGCTCTGTGCGGTCGGTTCTCATACTAATAAAATATCATCCTGGGGGCCAAGATAATTCTTTCGCGGGACGGATCTGGCCCCGGCCTCGACTTTGACACCCATGTCATAGATGTAGTGTATAATGTATTGGGTATGACATGTGTCATCAGAGTCCTAGTATGTAGACCCGGTCCGGTCCCAGTGTGTGGTCCACAGGGGTCAGACCTTGTGCAGAGCGGCCAGAGCAAAGTGGTCCAGCTTCAGGGACGCAGAGGACTCCGTGGCTCTCATCTTCTTCCACAGTGGACGCTGCTCATAGTTCAACAACGAGCCCTGAGACAAAACACGATATTAGAGCCCGCCTCTGAAAGCCCGCCTCTGAAAGCCCGCCTCTGAAAGCCCGCCTCTGAAAGCCCGCCTCTGAAAGCCTGCCTCTGAAAGCCTGCCTCTCAGAACCCGCCCAAAGCTCTCATGTTGGGGACCACTGCTGCATGTGTTTGTGTTCGTACCGTGTTGAAGTCCGTGAACTTGAGGCTGTATTTCTTCGCCGCATCTCGGTACAGGTCCAGTTTGAACGGCTCACTTCCTGTTCTGCCTCTCTCCTTATGCTCACTTCCTGTCCCGCCCCCCTCTTTATGCTCACATCCTGTCCCCTCCTCAGAGGTCTTCACTGGGACCATCTCGCAGAACTGCAGCGGCTGTAATCACATGTTGGTAATGAATCTTTATTAATATACCAGGAAAAGCGCTATACAATGTTCATGTAAAGCCGCTAGCTCATTGCTAACTCGGGTGTTCAATGCTAACTTGCAAGCTCAATGAAGCCCAATAGGGATATACTGTACTCCAACTTGCTCTGGCTCCTATTGACTTATATGTAAAAGTAAGTCAATAGGAGCGAATGTGTGTGTGTCTCAGTGTGTGTAGCTCACAAATCTCTTCTCCTGTGTGCGTTTATTGGTCAGAGAGCCCACACTGAGCAGAGGCAGCGTACACAGGATCACATCTCCGAGCGTGTCCGCCGTCACCAGGAAGTTCAGCCAATCAGAGTATGCGATGGACTGAAACAGGAAGTGAAATTAGCCAAACACAGTACGGCATGAACTGAAACAGGAAATATAAACCAGCCAAAATAAACTTTCAAGGAGATTTCTTTATTGTGTTGCAACAGACTAACAAGGGGCCAATAGGCACCCCTGAGGTACCCCAGCTTTTGTTTTACATACGTGGGTCCAGAGAGACACCAGAGAAAGATAGATACCAGAGTTGACCAGACTCACCCACATGGTCCCAGACCGAGGTACTGAGAACATTGCCGACATTTGGTGGTCGTAGAAATGCACTCCGTGATTCTTGAACCTGAGAAGACGGAGAGAACTAACAATGAGGTAGCATCTACAGTCCAACCCTCCTCTATACTCGTGGCCTTTGGGGAAGGTCCCAAATGATACAAGCAGGATCTCCTCCTCCCTGGTCTCTCCATGGTCTCTCCCTGGTCTCTCCCTGGTCTCTCCCTGGTCTCTCCCTGGTCTCTCCCTGGTCTCTCCCTGGTCTCTCCCTGGTCTCTCCCTGGTCTCTCCCTAGTCTCTCCCTAGTCTCTCCCTAGTCTCTCCCTAGTCTCTCCCTAGTCTCTCCCTGGTATCTCCCTGGTCTCTCCCTGGTCTCTCCCTGGTTTCTCCTGGTCTCTCTCTCCTGGTCCCTCCTGGTCTCTCCTGGTCTCTCCTGGTCCCTCCTGGTCTCTCTCTCCTGGTCCCTCCTGGTCTCTCCTGGTCTCTCCTGGTCTCCCCTGGTCCCTCTTGGTTCCTGGTCCCTGGTCTCACGCTGCATAGGCGTTCTCTTCCCCCAGAAGAAGTCCTGGAGCAGACAGAGGCCAAACGATCTCTGTGTTGATGTTTCTCTTCTGCTCCGTCACAGGAGCACAGACCCGACTCAGGTCCCAGGTCCTGGTGAACCGGTCCTCCCCCGTTGACACCAGTAGGTTCCTGTCAAGAGACCAGAGACCAAAGAGACAAGAGAGACAAGAGAGAGACCAGAGAGGGCAGAGAGAGAAATTAGCTCTAAACTCAGACTAGAATCTGACTTTTGACACTTACGATATTAACCACAGTTGTCGGTTACTGAAACTATCGTTCTTCGGAACCTGTGATGTCTGAGGCCTTTCCTTCACCTTGTGGTTTCAGAAGTTTGTGTGTGAAGTGGTGTTTTTGTGGATAATAAATGTGGTGATTAACGCAGCTGACGCAATTCTAATTAACTCTGTGACGCTGAGATGATAAACATTCAGACCACACCTCCTCTGACCCAGACACTGAAGCTGGGGGACGTGACTTTAAAAGGTGGGGGACGTACATCAGAACTCTGTATTAAACCCATGTTTCTAGTTCTGGCTCTAAAACAGTTGCTTCTGCCACTAGTTTCATGTATTTGTGATGTCACATCTTTAGATCAGCCCAAAGAGGCAGAAGATCGGTCTGATTTGTGTCACATAACTCTGTTCAAAAATGTGTTATTTATGAAACTAGAGATACAGATCCCAGCTTTAAAGAACACATTATGATATTTCTCTGGTGAAAGACCGAACCATCAGGAACACAGACACATGCACCCGCCCCTTCTGTCCAGGGAACAGAAAGATAATGTGTCTTTAGCCATTCCTCTCTCAGATGGATGATCTTCTGCAGCATATTCTTCCTGTTGTCTGTAAAACGCTGATTCACTCACATTTGGTTTATGTGACATTTGACAGCGTCGTACGTCTCACGGCTAACAGAGCGCAGCTAACGGAGTGCAGCTAACAGAGCACTGCTGAGTGATGTTCACACCACCACGCTTTTATCACACGAGCTAATGCTAACGTAAGGGTCACTGCAGAAATGAGCTAATGCTAGCCTCCTTCACACTGGGAAGGGGAAGTAAACTATATTGTATCCAAAAACATAAGGGATTGCTAACAAAGAGTGGGCGTGTCTAATCAACAAGTGGGTGTGGCTTACCAGAAGGGGGTGTGGCTTATTGGCTTATTATTTTATATTTTTCTATATATGATATTTGTACAGAATAAATAACCCTCCAAAAACTACTGAAAATACAATCATGCAAACAAGTTTTTTATTATTTTTATTGTATCTCAAAGAGGGAGTCAGTTTCAGTGGGAACATGTTTACAGCAGTCTCGGCTACTAGTTGCTGCTGTGTTGAAGGAGACACCAGCGAGGGGAGGGGCCGACGCGAGGCAAAAGGTGGCGGGGACAAGCGCAGCACAGAGAAGGCAAACATGCAAAAGTGAAATAGAGCCAGTATCTCCCTGATATGAAAATGCCTATTGTCAAAGTTACTTTGGCGATATTATCGCCTAAAATATTTATAGCCCACTCTTTGCAGAAGGACACATGTCTCACTGGCAGGTTGTTGGCGGGAATTACTGGTAGGGGGCATGTCTTAGAAGAGGGTGTGTCTTACCGGGAGGCGGGGGCGAAGGACACGTGTCTCACTGGCAGGTCGTGGGCGATGAAACACTGGAACGGTAACAGCGTCATGGAGCCGTCGCTCTCTCTGATACGAAGCAGAGACGAGCGAGTGCTCAGATCCCACAGCCCCACGTGACCTGAGGAGAGAGTAACCATGGAAACTGATACAATTGAGACCAGGCCAGCAGACGCATGTAAGAGCACAGGGAAAAGCCTCGAACTGAATGAGAACACAGGACCAGAGAGAGACCAGAGGGAAGGACAGAGTCGTCAGAGACAATGGAACATAAAGGCGCCATGTCTGAGGTGTTTACCGTCGTAGAAACCGACAGCGATGAGGTTGTGTGGTTTGTGTTGGACCCAGTCCAGACTCAGGACCAGACCACTGTCCGAGACCCGAGGAGCTTTAAAGGAACCCAACTTCAGGGTCACCACAGCCTTTACCTGGAAAAGACCATAACCAGGATTGAGACCAGAACCAGGACTTTAAAATGTTGTGAACAAATCAGACCACAACAAACTACCTTCATACGATTAGAAAACATTTTTTGTGTAAGAGAGAGCCCTGTGAGTCTCCATCTGCCTCTTTGGGCTGAGAGTGGATCTCCGAGTCACAGACAGAAATACATGAAACATAGACAGAGACATTACCAACTGTTTTAGAGCCAGGACTAGAGACATGGGTTTATTACAGAGTTTTGTTGGCCTGAGAGTTCCAGACCTCAGCTTTAAATTTGATTTCTTTGTCTCTTCATGTATGTACATATTGCACACATTGCACCACTGACAGAAATGTAAGGAGTGAGTTTCAGTGGAGGGGGCCCCTGGACACATTATGCCCAGACCCTGAGGACTGGGACCGGCCCTGGACTCATACAGTCACTTCACTCTAATCACCTGAATCAATGAAGCGTCTGGGGAGAGGGAAACAGGGAGGAGTGTCTCATCTGAGCGACTGTAAGGGAGGACATGCGTTTAAACTTCCTCCCCTCCCCTCTCCTCTCTCCCCTCCTCCCCCCTCCACTTTCCTCTTCTCCCTCTCTGCTCTTCCCTCCCAGCTCTTCCCTTCCCTTCCCTTTCCTCTCCTCTCCTCTCCTCTCCTCATGATAGAATGTAAATGCTGTACCTTATAGACCGCAGTGTCAGAGCCATCTGTAAAAGAGAACACAAACCTAAGAACATTTTCACATTAACATTGCAGAAACTCTGTCTCTGTGCCTCTGTGTCTGAGACACTGAGCCCGAGTCCCGCCTTCGGGTGATTGACAGCTCACACTGGCACAACGCTGCACTCAGTTGGCACACCGTGGATCTTTTTGTCATTTTCAATTAAAAATGTGACACACAGACAAATATGCACAAACATGAAGTTACAGACCCCAGCTTTAATTTATATTAACGTGTATAAGTTTGTGTAAGCCCTCAGTCGTACAGGGATTAGTCAAAGCAAAGGAAGGTTTCTCACCCATCATCTGTACTTCTTAGCACGTTTTCCCGACGTTTCGTCCTCGACCTGGGGACTTCTTCAGGGAATGAATTCTCGGACCAGCGCGTTGGAGATTTATAACCTATGGGTGTGGTTAGCCACACCCTAATCCTGATACTAACTCGTAAACAATGTCAGGTCTGCTTGATGTAGAAGGGAGCAGGTCTAACGACCCTGCTGAGGCTAACGACCCTAACTCCTTAGCATGTCACAGACCTATTGTCTGCTGGGATGCTCAAGTGGAGTGCAGGTTTCACCCCTCCTAACTCATTAGCATGTCACTGACCTTGTCCCAAGTTAGGGCGTTGTTTTTAGGATGTCGTCATAGATGCGAGGCAAAACAAATCTTAACCCTCCTCCTCTGTTAAGAGAAGGTTTTTGTTTCCTCACAAAAATGGCTTCTTTCACCCCTCTCTCAAACCAATTCTTCTCCCGAGCCAGAATTTTAACCTCTGTGTCATCCACCGTGTGGTTGGAGGCCTTGAGGTGGAGATGAACAGCCGACTGTGGCCCACTAGAGTTTTCTCTACGATGTTGGTAAAGTCGTTTCTGTAGAGTTTGTTTGGTTTCTCCAATATAGTGGTCAGTGCACTCCTCTTCACTACATTTAATTGAATAAACCACATTGCTCTGTTTGTGTCTGGGTGTTTTGTCTTTGGGATGCACTAATTTCTGTCTTAACGTGTTGAAAGGTTTGAAATACACAGGGATTTTGTGTTGCCTAACGATTCTTTGTAGTTTCTCTGAAACTCCCGCCACATACGGTAAGGACACCCCTCTCCTCCTACTTTCTTCTGTCTGTAGGACTGTGTCTCTGGCCTTTCTCGTCCTTTGGGCTTTAGTAAACGACCACTTGGGGTAGCCACATCTGGAAAGTGCTCTCTGAACATGTTTGGTTTCTCTGTTCTTTCCCTCCGAGCTAGTGGGGACCTGGTGGGCTCGGTGTTGAAGCGTTCTAATGACCCCGAGTTTGTGTTGTAGCGGATGATTTGAATCAAAGGCCAAGTACTGGTCAGTGTGAGTGGACTTTCTGAAAACCTCAGTCTCTAATTGTCCGTTCTCCAGTATGATGACCTTACAATCTAGAAAGGCGAGTTCACTCTCCTTAGCATCCTCGCGAGTGAAATTTATAAAAGGGTCCACCGAGTTAATGTGTGCTGAAAATGGTTCCACTTCCTGTTTCTTTAACTTAACCCATGTATCGTCTACATATCGAAACCAATGGCTTGGCGCTGTCCCTTGGTAAGAGCCCAGGGCTTGTTCCTCCAGTTTCTCCATATACAGATTGGCCACTATAGGAGAGACTGGGGAGCCCATCGCACAGCCATGAATCTGTCTAAAGAAGGTGCCTCTAAATTGGAAATACGTGGTGTTAAGACACATTTCAAGTAATTCACAGATGTGGTCAGCTGTTAGTTTCGTTCTCTCCCCTAGTGTGGCGTCTTTCTGTAGGCTTTCTCTTACAGCCTCCACCGCCTCTGTAATAGGGACCGACGTAAAAAGCGATGTCACATCAAACGAGACCATTGTCTCATCTGTGTCAAACTGGAGGTGTTTGATTTTATTTACAAATTCTTTTGTGTTTTCTATGTGATGGTGGGTGTTGCCCACCAAAGGAGCCAGAATGGTTTTGAGGTGTTTAGCCAGGTTGTAGGTGATAGAGTCTATGCTACATACAATAGGCCGAAGTGGAAAGTTTTGTTTGTGTATTTTTGGGAGGCCATAAATACTGGGGATGGTGTCTCCTGGGTAAAGTTTGTAATATAGTGGTTTTTCAATAATGCCCTCTTTCATTAAGTTCTGAAGGAAGTCTATAATCTTTTTCCTAAACCCACTGGTAGGGTCCCTCTTCAATGGCTGGTACGTGTTGGTGTCCACGAGTAACTGATTAACTTTGGCCTCATAGTCTGAGCTGTTGAGGATAACTGTGCATCTGCCTTTGTCAGCTGGTAAAATAGTTATATTCTCATCCTTTTGTAATGCCAATAATGCTTTTTGCTCATCTAATGAGACATTGGATTGTGGGGGCTTCGCACTTTTGAGCGTGGCAGAGACTCTCAGTCTGAGGGCCCCTGCCTCATTCTCCGTTAGTTTGTTGTTTCTAATGGCTGCTTCTGCTGCTGTGATGTATTCAATTGTAGGAATATCTTTTGGGGTTATTGCAAAATTTAGGCCTTTAGTAAGAACATCTTTTTCCGCTTGTGATAAATGCCGATCAGACAGATTTTTGACCCAATTCTCCCTGTCCAAGCCTTGTCCAATTTCACTTTTAGAATGTTGAAAAGAATTATGGTTTTGGAGAACCTAAGAAATCATCTTAGGTTCAATCTTAGGTGTAGCCAGAGTAAACTTATCCCAAAATGTTTAAAGCAAAAAGCATTAGAAACAGGCCAGTTGGCAAGAAAAATACAACAAAACTACTGTATGAAGATTCTCAATTTAAGAATTCGACGACTTAACATAGAGATTATAAACCTAAAGGACGAGATAGAGGGCCTTAAGCACAAACTGGAATTGGCAGTCTCACCAGAGTTTTTTCAGAGGATTTGGACGTTTACGGAAACTGCCCAACTGAACCATCACAAGAAGGCCAAAGAACGTCAGATAGGCAAATTTCTAAAACTCCAAAACCATAATTCTTTTCAACATTCTAAAAGTGAAATTGGACAAGGCTTGGACAGGGAGAATTGGGTCAAAAATCTGTCTGATCGGCATTTATCACAAGCGGAAAAAGATGTTCTTACTAAAGGCCTAAATTTTGCAATAACCCCAAAAGATATTCCTACAATTGAATACATCACAGCAGCAGAAGCAGCCATTAGAAACAACAAACTAACGGAGAGTGAGGCAGGGGCCCTCAGACTGAGAGTCTCTGCCACACTCAAAAGTGCGAAGCCCCCACAATCCAATGTCTCATTAGATGAGCAAAAAGCATTATTGGCATTACAAAAGGATGAGAATATAACTATTTTACCAGCTGACAAAGGCAGATGCACAGTTATCCTCAACAGCTCAGACTATGAGGCCAAAGTTAATCAGTTACTCGTGGACACCAACACGTACCAGCCATTGAAGAGGGACCCTACCAGTGGGTTTAGGAAAAAGATTATAGACTTCCTTCAGAACTTAATGAAAGAGGGCATTATTGAAAAACCACTATATTACAAACTTTACCCAGGAGACACCATCCCCAGTATTTATGGCCTCCCAAAAATACACAAACAAAACTTTCCACTTCGGCCTATTGTATGTAGCATAGACTCTATCACCTACAACCTGGCTAAACACCTCAAAACCATTCTGGCTCCTTTGGTGGGCAACACCCACCATCACATAGAAAACACAAAAGAATTTGTAAATAAAATCAAACACCTCCAGTTTGACACAGATGAGACAATGGTCTCGTTTGATGTGACATCGCTTTTTACGTCGGTCCCTATTACAGAGGCGGTGGAGGCTGTAAGAGAAAGCCTACAGAAAGACGCCACACAAGGGGAGAGAACGAAACTAACAGCTGACCACATCTGTGAAATACTTGAAATGTGTCTTAACACCACGTATTTCCAATTTAGAGGCACCTTCTTTAGACAGATTCATGGCTGTGCGATGGGCTCCCCAGTCTCTCCTATAGTGGCCAATCTGTATATGGAGAAACTGGAGGAACAAGCCCTGGGCTCTTACCAAGGGACAGCGCCAAGCCATTGGTTTCGATATGTAGACGATACATGGGTTAAGTTAAAGAAACAGGAAGTGGAACCATTTTCAGCACACATTAACTCGGTGGACCCTTTTATAAATTTCACTCGCGAGGATGCTAAGGAGAGTGAACTCGCCTTTCTAGATTGTAAGGTCATCATACTGGAGAACGGACAATTAGAGACTGAGGTTTTCAGAAAGTCCACTCACACTGACCAGTACTTGGCCTTTGATTCAAATCATCCGCTACAACACAAACTCGGGGTCATTAGAACGCTTCAACACCGAGCCCACCAGGTCCCCACTAGCTCGGAGGGAAAGAACAGAGAAACCAAACATGTTCAGAGAGCACTTTCCAGATGTGGCTACCCCAAGTGGTCGTTTACTAAAGCCCAAAGGACGAGAAAGGCCAGAGACACAGTCCTACAGACAGAAGAAAGTAGGAGGAGAGGGGTGTCCTTACCGTATGTGGCGGGAGTTTCAGAGAAACTACAAAGAATCTTTAGGCAACACAAAATCCCTGTGTATTTCAAACCTTTCAACACGTTAAGACAGAAATTAGTGCATCCCAAAGACAAAACACCCAGACACAAACAGAGCAATGTGGTGTATTCAATTAAATGTAGTGAAGAGGAGTGCACTGACCACTATATTGGAGAAACCAAACAAACTCTACAGAAACGACTTTACCAACATCGTAGAGAAAACTCTAGTGGGCCACAGTCGGCTGTTCATCTCCACCTCAAGGCCTCCAACCACACGGTGGATGACACAGAGGTTAAAATTCTGGCTCGGGAGAAGAATTGGTTTGAGAGAGGGGTGAAAGAAGCCATTTTTGTGAGGAAACAAAAACCTTCTCTTAACAGAGGAGGAGGGTTAAGATTTGTTTTGCCTCGCATCTATGACGACATCCTAAAAACAACGCCCTAACTTGGGACAAGGTCAGTAACATGCTAATGAGTTAGGAGGGGTGAAACCTGCACTCTACTTGAGCATCCCAGCAGACAATAGGTCTGTGACATGCTAAGGAGTTAGGGTCGTTAGCCTCAGCAGGGTCGTTAGACCTGCTCCCTTCTACATAAAGCAGACCTGACATTGTTTACGAGTTAGTATCAGGATTAGGGTGTGGCTTACCACACCCATAGGTTATAAATCTCCAACGCGCTGGTCCGAGAATTCATTCCCTGAAGAAGTCCCCAGGTCGAGGACAAAACGTCGGGAAAACGTGCTAAGAAGTACAGATGATGGGTGAGAAACCTTCCTTTGCATTAACGTGTATAGAACAGTGAGGATTTTTAGTGTAGTTTCTTCATAAAAAAGAAGCCATAAAAGTGTGACGTGGGTCATAAGTCCGCATCCCTCTCTTCCCCTTCCCTCCCTCTCCTCCCCCTCCTCCCTCTACCCTCCCTCTCTCATTCAGAAGGGGACGTGTCCTTTATGTTCAAATGTTCTTTTAATAATCGAGTCGTGAGAAGATGAAACCAACGACCCACAAATTCGACCAAACTGAAACGAGAAACAAGGATTCAATTATAAGAACTGTCCATATGGAACAGGAGAAGTGTGTGTGTGTGTGTGTGTGTGTGTGTGTGTGTGTGTGTGCACTTGTTTTTAAATCCTGGTGGGGTCCATAACATGAGATTGCACTGAACCCACTGGTCCGAGCTTTAAAAAAAAGTCAAGGGGTAATGCCTTTCCAACGTCCTAATGCAGTTTCTGCAAAACAATGGAAAGGACCCCTGCAGATGGACTTAGTTGAAAAAAAGTGTATTATTTGTGTGGACCCTGGTGGTGGTGTGAAGAAGGACTAGAGCAGGTCTAATGCCAGACTAAAGCAGGTCTAATGCCAGACGCAAGCAGGTCTAATGCCAGACTAAAGCAGGTCTAATGCCAGACTAAAGCAGGTCTAATGCCAGACTAAAGCAGGTCTAATGCCAGACTAAAGCAGGTCTAATGCCAGACTAAAGCAGGTCTAATGCCAGACTAAAGCAGGTCTAATGCCAGACTAAAGCAGGTCTAAGGTAGGATTCTCTGCCCACAGCTGAGTGTGATTGATGGTTTGTGTGAAAGCATTATTCCTCTTCTGTGTTTTCAGTGGAGCAGATCCGACACACTGTCGCAAGGCGGGTTAAAGGCCCAGTCGTTCTGACACCAGCTTGAGTGTGTGAGGCAGAGGGGACCAGAGTTGGTGTGCGTGTGTGATGGTCCAGTGCCTCTCGCTGCAGTGCGGACTCAGTTGCAGTGGAACAGCGTCCTCTGCTGCATCACTGTGACCACTACATAAACAGCCTTCTTACTCCAAGTTCCAACATTATGTTTCTCATTATAGTCATGTTGATGATTGACTGAGTGAGGGTGGTCCTCCCTTTGATCTAAAGATGTGACATCACAAATATATGATACTAATTACAGACACAACTGTTTTAGATCCAGAACTAGAGACAAGGGTTTAATACAGTGCACTGCTGCTGTGGTCTGAAAGTTACAGATTCCAGCTTTAAAGTTAAAGACCCCAGATTTAGAGTTACGTCCCCGAGCTTTATCAAAGGTCTCTGGCTCTTACCGGTGGGAAGCAGTGAGAGCAGAGCGTCTGGATGAGGGAGGCTGTAGATGCTGACCACTCCCAGAGACGAAGCCACAGCTAGGAGCCCAAGTCTGGGCATCAGAGGAGCCTGAGGCACAGGAACATTCTACTGTTACTGTAATAACTGCAGCAGTATCAGTAGGAGCAGCAGTATCAGTAGTAGTAGTAGCAGCAGTATCAGTAGAAGTAGCAGTAGTAGTAGCAGCAGTATCAGTAGTAGGTGCAGCAGTATCAGTAGCAGCAGCAGCAGTATCAGTAGTAGTAGTAGCAGCAGTATCAGTAGTAGTAGTAGCAGCAGTATCAGTAGTAGTAGTAGCAGCAGTATCAGTAGTAGTAGTAGCAGCAGTATCAGTAGTAGTAGTAGCAGCAGTATCAGTAGTAGTAGTAGCAGCAGTATCAGTAGTAGCAGCAGCAGTATCAGTAGTAGGTGCAGCAGTATCAGTACTAGTAGTAGTAGTATCAGTAGTAGTGGTAGCAGCAGCAGCAGTATCAGTAGTAGTAGCAGCAGCAGCAGTATCAGTAGTAGTAGTAGCAGCAGTATCAGTAGTAGTAGTAGCAGCAGTATCAGTAGTAATAGTAGCAGCAGCAGCAGTATCAGTAGTAGTAGTAGCAGCAGTATCAGTAGTAGTAGTAGCAGCAGTATCAGTAGTAGTAGTAGCAGCAGTATCAGTAGTAGTAGTAGCAGCAGTATCAGTAGTAGTAGTAGCAGCAGTATCAGTAGCAGCAGCAGCAGCAGTATCAGTAGCAGCAGTATCAGTAGTAGTAGTAGCAGTAGTAGTAGTAGCAGTATCAGTAGTAGCAGCAGCAGTATCAGTAGTAGTAGTATCAGTAGTAGTAGCAGCAGCAGTATCAGTAGTAGTAGTAGCAGCAGTATCAGTAGTAGGAGCAGCAGTATCAGTAGTAGGATCAGCAGTATCAGTAGTAGGATCAGCAGTATCAGTAGTAGGAGCAGCAGTATCAGTAGTAGGAGCAGCACTGTAAACCCTAACTTCAATCGTACTTCAGATATCAAAGTTATTTTAAATAGATTTTTCCCAGTAAGTAAATATTACTCATTTATTGTTAGTTTATTTAAAGCTTGGCTATATCACTCATGGTTTTCTTTGAACTGAACTGTTTCTGTTCAAGTAAGCCTCACTTTTGACATTTTGACGTGTAGATTCTTTAATGAGGCAGGTGTGACAATGGCAGGGTGGTCTGGTGGCTGAGTGGGTAGCACCATTACCTCTCTACTACAGGGTTCTGAGTACAATTCCCGGTCGGAGTATAAGAAGAAATTTAAACTTTATTGCAATCACTTCAGTTACTTGGTAATATCAAGTAAAGGATGTACTCGAGTAATTCAAGTGAAGTTAATACGCAATTTATTTCCATGGTTTTTTCAAGTAAACTTTACTTGTCAGGCAAAGGAAGGTTTCTCACCCATCATCTGTACTTCTTAGCAAGTTTTCCCGATGTTTCGTCCTCAACCTGGGGACTTCTTCAGGGAATGAATTCTCGGACCGCGCGTTGGAGATTTATAACCTATGGGTGTGGTAAGCCACACCCTAACCCTGATACTAACTCGTAAACAATCTCAGGTCTGCTTTATGTAGAAGGGAGCAGGTCTAACGACCCTGCTGAGGCTAACGAAACAGAAACCTTCTCTTAACAGAGGAGGAGGGTTAAGATTTGTTTTGCCTCGCATCTATGACGACATCCTAAAAACAACGCCCTAACTTGGGACAAGGTCAGTGACATGCTAATGAGTTAGGAGGGGTGAAACCTGCACTCCACTTGATGATCCCAGCAGACAATAGGTCTGTGACATGCTAAGGAGTTAGGGTCGTTAGCCTCAGCAGGGTCGTTAGACCTGCTCCCTTCTACATAAAGCAGACCTGAGATTGTTTACGAGTTAGTATCAGGGTTAGGGTGTGGCTTACCACACCCATAGGTTATAAATCTCCAACGCGCGGTCCGAGAATTCATTCCCTGAAGAAGTCCCCAGGTTGAGGACGAAACGTCGGGAAAACTTGCTAAGAAGTACAGATGATGGGTGAGAAACCTTCCTTTGCTTTGACTAATCCCTGTACGACTGAGGGCTTACACAAATTTACTTGTCAGGGTTTACAGTATCAGTAGTAGTAGTAGTAGCAGTAGTAGTAGTAGCAGTATCAGTAGTAGCAGCAGCAGTATCAGTAGTAGTAGCAGTAGTATCAGTAGTAGCAGCAGCAGTATCAGTAGTAGTAGCAGTAGTATCAGTAGTAGCAGCAGCAGTATCAGTAGTAGTATCAGTAGTAGCAGCAGCAGTAGCAGCAGCAGTATCAGTAGTAGCAGCAGTAGTATCAGCAGTGGCAGCAGCAGTATCAGTAGTAGTATCAGTAGTAGTAGCAGCAGTATCAGTAGTAGTATCAGTAGTAGTAGCAGCAGTATCAGTAGTAGTAGCAGTAGTAGTAGCAGCAGTATCAGTAGTAGTAGTAGTAGTATCAGTAGTAGTAGCAGTATCAGTAGTAGTAGCAATAGTAGTAGTAGCAGCAGTAGTAGTAGCAGTATCAGTAGCAGTATCAGTATCAGTAGTAGTAGTAGCAGTAGTAGTAGTAGTAGTAGTAGCAGTAGTAGTAGTAGCAGTATCAGTAGTAGCAGCAGCAGCAGTATCAGTAGCAGTATCAGTAGTAGTAGCAGTAGTAGTAGCAGTAGTAGGGTTGACAAACCATTTGGATGGATCGGGTCGTACACTTTAGTTGTCCTAATTTCAATCTACACAGAAATCATGGAATTTCATATTCACAGTTTTCAGAATGTAATTTATTGACTACAAATAAATGAAACAAATCTGTAGTCAAAGATTAAATGAAATCAACCTGAAATAAGCCTAGTCTTCAATGATCATCATGAGCATTAACAAATGGCCCTGACAATGACTGATCTATAACGAGGTGCAAATCCTTGCTTCCTTGTAAAAGTGCATTGTTTTAAACTCCGTGCGGAGAAACCACTTGTCTTTCAACTCTTAGGCTGATTAAGGACTTTATGCGTGATTATTCAGTCATTTTCTTTGGCTATTCTATGAATTAAATATATATCTTATGCCGCGTTCAGACCGGATCATGCGTTGCGTTGGCTTTCAATGCAAAGTCAATGGTGACGCGCGTTCAAGCGTCAAAATACATGTGCGTCTCGGAATGCTCGCACGGACTGCTCAGTAGAGACGCACGGACTGCTCAGTAGAGACGCACGGACTGCTCAGTAGAGACGCCCGGACTGCTCAGTAGAGACGCACGGACTGCTCAGTAGAGACGCACGGACTGCTCAGTAGAGACGCACGGACTGCTCAGTAGAGACGCACGGACTGCTCAGTAGAGACGCCCGGACTGCGCGGCAAAGTCGAAGAGGAGGTGCAGGAGCTGAAAATCGACGCACGCAGGAGATAACCATTGCACAACCTTTCCTCAGGACGCTCGTGCAGCAACCAATCAGAGAGCCGCAAAGTGGTCTCGGGGACATTAGTGGTCTGAGTGAGCAGACTGAAAATACTTGTCAACAGCCAAAACAGGAGCCACACCAGGACTAAACCAGGGTTGACAATGGGGGACATGGTGCTTGTGAACATGTGAGTTTTCATGCTCCCGTGACTTTATGCAACTGCTTCAAGTTTGTTTGCCACTGCGGAAGTACCGTTTAATAATAAAATAAACTTATTGCGCACCTCCGTGAACACATACTACTGTTATATAGAGTCATATATAGGAGAAGATCTTTACAAAAGAAGCCGCTAGCTTAACTCTGTTAGCATCAAAGCCCGCCGGCTAATTCCGTCACTTCCAGCGTTGGCGGTCTGAAAGCAGCATTAGAAGTTTAACCATAGCCTAACAAGAATGTATAATTTCTTAATAACTTGTGAGTAAGTGACTGCCTGCTAACAACCAAACAGCAATGACCTATGCCATTTGGGGATTTTATTGGCCAATATTGTTTGTAACATAAACATACTAACACTGATTCAAATGAACTTAAAAGAAAGTCAGTTCTCATGACACCATCTCTCTCTCTGAAAGCAGTCATACATCTGACCCCCGAGAGAAACAGGACACACGGCGGCAAAAAGTACAGTTCTATTTGTAGCAATTGCCGTTCACAGTTTCTAACCACACGTGTTACGCTTCCCACTCTCGTCTGTACTTCTGTAGTTGCTTTTGTTTCTTTCTTGAACCTTTCTGAGATGCCATGATGATGCTGCGGGCGTGGCCCACGCTGGCGCTTGTAAACATTAAGCCCATGGATGTGATCAAGCCTACGCCCGCCTTTGACACTGATCGGCCGAAAGGTAGACGCTGTGTGTGTTGTGCTGTGACATGCAGTGAGTGAGGGATGCATTTAAAGGCGACTCTGAAGATACGGGACAAAAGCCGAACTTTATCGATTTAATATAGGACGCACATAGTTTTCTAAAATACGGGACGCTTCCATATTTTAAGGGACGGTTAGCAGCAGCAGCAGCAGTAGCAGCTGTAGCAGCAGTAGCAGCAGCAGCAGTAGCGCAGTAGCAGCAGGAGTAGCTGCAGCAGCAGTAGCAGCAGTAGCAGCAGCAGCAGTAGCAGCAGCAGCAGTAGCAGCAGCAGCAGTAGAGCAGTAGCAGCAGTAGTAGCAGCAGTAGTAACAGCAGTAGTAGCAGCAGCAGCAGTAGCAGCAGTAGCAGCAGCAGCTGTAGCAGCAGCAATAGCGCAATAGCAGCAGTAGCTGCAGCAGCAGTAGCAGCAGAAGTAGCTGCAGCAGCAGTAGAGCAGTAGCAGCAGTAGTAGCAGCAGTAGCAGCAGTAGCTGTAACAGCAGTAGCAGCAGCAGCAGTAGCGCAGTAGCGCAGTAGCAGCAGCAGCTGTAGCAGCAGCAATAGCGCAGTAGCAGCAATAGTAGCAAGAGTAGCAGCAGCAGCTCTAACAGCAGTAGCAGCAGCAGCAGTAGCGCAGTAGCAGCAGTAGTAGCAGCAGTAGCAGCAGCAGTAGCGCAGTAGCAGCAGTAGTAGCAGCAGTAGCAGCAGTAGTAGCAGCAGTAGCAGCAGCAGCTGTAACAGCAGCAGCAGTAGCGCAGTAGCAGCAGTAGCGCAGTAGCAGCAGTAGTAGCAGCAGTAGTAGCAGCAGCAGTAGTTGTTTCTCACCTGTCTCTCGGTCTCTGGTTTCTCCCAGGTTCCTGCAGGACACCACTTCAGTCCCCACACAAAGCCTTGGTCCTGGGCCAAACTGTAGACCAGAGCTGGTCTCTGGTCCGGTCTGAGTAGAGAGTCACATGACCCAGGGTTACACTATGGCTTCCATCACTCGCCCCTGGGTCCTGGGTCACTCTCTGGTCACTCTCTGGTCTCACTCTCTGGTCTCACTCTCTGGTCTCACTCTCTGGTCTCACTCTCTGGTCTCACTCTCTGGTCTCACTCTCTGGTCTCACTCTCTGGTCTCACTCTCTGGTCTCACTCTCTGGTCTCACTCTCTGGTCTCACTCTCTGGTCTCACTCTCTGGTCTCACTCTCTGGTCTCACTCTCTGGTCTCACTCTCTGGTCTCACTCTCTGGTCTCACTCTCTGGTCTCACTCTCTCTGGTCTCTCTCTCTCTCTGTAGGCCTGACCCCGTGTAGACTGGATTACCTGCAGTGGTTCTGGAGTCTCCCCAGGTCCCAGACTTGGACAAGGCCTGGACCACTGTAGACCTGGTTGTCCCGGTGGGTCTCGTCCATGTCTCTGTGACAGGAAAGTGCTATATACTGAGTCTCCTCACAGTGGTCTGGGGTCGGGCACCACTCCAGAGACCAGAGAGGACCCCCACAGAAGAAGACCGAGTCCCAGCGGTCTGAGTGGGCTGAGGAGGAGCAGAACCTGGACACAGAAGAGAGAAAACTCAAACTCTACTCGACTCTACCCAGTTTAACCTAACCTGGCAAGAGCCAGATTGATGATTGTGTAGAACTCTAACGCGTTCTCCGCGATATCAATCTGGGATTTCTCCCGGAGAATCCTTTCGGGGAAAGGAGGGGTAAGCAGCAGAATACTTGAAGCTGATTGGGCGAAGTGACGCTGTGTGCCCGCCTACCAAGGTTGCCGTCCAGAAATGTACAAAGCGCCTCTCGCTGTTCATCTTTCAAAAAAGAAATTGGAGATTCTGCTAAAACTGACTGATGTTTGTTTTGCTTCGGCCCGGCACTTCTTGCTTTCGTCAAACCCGGATATCCCGCCCTAAACCCCCAGACTGGCGCGTGATTGGCTCGCACACCCAGTGGTTTGACTCGAAAAGTGTAAGCGGGAGCGGTACAAGATGTATTCTCGAGTGTTTGTGAACTCACAAATACCGCGAGAATTCAGCTTGCAGGCAAGGTTAAGTTTAACCAGTACCAAGTCCATTTGTAGTCCCTCTGGGCCAGGGGTGGGCAATTATTTTCTTCAGGTGCCACATTGGGATATTGCCCTTTATTTTTGCTAAAAGGTACTTTAGTTTTTCAAAGTAAAATAAATATGATAAATCCTAGTCACAAGCCCTTGTAGAGCATTGACTCCGGGATGAATTTTATCAAAAAACTGTTTGAGGTAAACGGCTGGAAAGGTTGACCGCATAGAAATGTGGATGGGGCCGGATGTGGCCCCTGGGCTGCACTTTGCCCAGGTCTGCTCTTAGTTCTATTCCTATCTCGGCCGAGCTGGTCCTAAAGTGTTCTGAGTAGAGATCAGTCGTTTCCATCTGAAGTGAGTTTAGACTTAAACCTGTGCAGCGTCTGCGGCTCCTCGGTCCCAGATCCTTCTCTGGAGACACAGAACTGAACAGACTGCCGCTCCTGAGGGAGGTACTCCTCTGCTGCCTCCCTGTGGACACACCAAGACATTAGAAAGGAGATTAAATGGTTCATCTGAGCCAAACGCCCTGTCCTCAGCTCATTACCTGTGTGGAAGCAACTGCCAGTGTGAGGACGAGGGGATCCAGTCCGGAAACATCCAGGAGCTGTGGTAACCCTGACGACTGCAGACAACAGTTTAATAATAAATGTTTAAAGCTTTATGAGAGCCCAGCTTTAAAAAAAAAATGTATGCGACTTAAGTAAGATTGAACGTACAACTTGGAGGTGACTTCCTTGGAGACTTGGACGGATATGGACGTCATCACTGGAACTCCGTTCCCTTTCGGGTCCCCGCTGTGGCCCCCACCTCGGCCCCTCCCACTGCCTTTCTTGCAGCGGTTTCCGTGTCCTCTTCCATTACCCCCGCCCTGAAACACAGGAGGGGTTCACTCTCACCTCTAGGGGGCGTTCACACAGGGGCTGGAGTAGAGATTAATTTCTTCACCAGCTCTCACTCTCTGGTCTCTTACTCTCTGGTCTCTCACTCTCTGGTCTCTCACTCTCTGGTCTCTCACTCTCTGGTCTCTCACTCTCTGGTCTCTCACTCTCTGGTCTCTCACTCTCCGGTCTCTCACTCTCCGGTCTCTCACTCTCCGGTCTCTCACTCTCCGGTCTCTCACTCTCCGGTCTCTCACTCTCCGGTCTCTCACTCTCCGGTCTCTCACTCTCCGGTCTCTCACTCTCCGGTCTCTCACTCTCCGGTCTCTCACTCTCCGGTCTCTCATTCTCCGGTCTCTCATTCTCCGGTCTCTCATTCTCCGGTCTCTCATTCTCCGGTCTCTCATTCTCCGGTCTCTCATTCTCCGGTCTCTCACTCTCCGGTCTCTCACTCTCTGGTCTCTCACTCTCCGGTCTCTCACTCTCCGGTCTCTCACTCTCCGGTCTCTCACTCTCCGGTCTCTCACTCTCCGGTCTCTCACTCTCCGGTCTCTCACTCTCTGGTCTCTCACTCTCCGGTCTCTCACTCTCTAGTCTCTCACTCTCTAGTCTCTCACTCTCACTCTCTGGTCTCTCACTCTCTGGTCTCTCACTCTCTTTACACACATTCAGAGGGAGGGACCAAAGGGAGGAACCAGAGGGGGGAGCTTGATGGAAAGAAGGGGACAGATGTTGGACATACCTGGTGTTGTGTGCTGGTGAACCTCCCCTCCTCCTCCTCCTCCTCTTCCTCTTCCTCCTGATATTCATCTTCTTCTTCCTCTCCGGCAGTCTCAGCGTTCAGCACAAAATCCTTGTCACTGTCTGCGTCCGAGTCGCAGTTGAGCTTCCTCCTACGACCTGAGAAGGAGAATCTCTCATTTTCACTTTCATTCAAATCTCTGGTCTTTCTGGTCTCTCTGACTGACCTGTAGGAGTCTTGGTCTTGGATCCTGGTCTTTGGTCCTGGTCTCTCAAGGGCCCCTCATTGTCCCCATTGGCCTGGTTCTGGTCCTGCTCCTCAGTCTCGGCCAGACGGTCTCGGAGATATTTCAGAGCCCTGAAACCAAAGAATACATTTTTATGGTTTCTCCTCTGTTCATATGACATCACACTAGGCAAAAAACTATGAATTTTCATGACCGACCAGCGAGCCTCATTAACCGGTTGAAACCGGTTAACCGCGTAGTTTAAAATATCCCAGGTTCTTTGAAATAACAGCCATTTCGAACCGCGTACTTTTCATAAGTGTAGGTCTGCGTTCTACTGGATCAGAGCCGAGACAGCGGCGCAAAAACCCGCAACAGCTTCGGCACCTTTGCGCACAGAGAACTGCTGTTTTTCTGCTGAGCTGCGGGTTAAGGCTTTTTCAAGGAAACGACGACTCTTTCACATGGTCAGAGCAGCGAGTGACGAGCCGCGTCTCACAGGTCTCTGCTTAAGTTTAAAAGTGATGTGTGTGGAGCTGATGCCGAGGACCAGCAGCACAAACATGGTCCATGTGATTCGACTGGAGCCCTGTATTTGGATCCTTTGGGCTCCGTGACACAGAGGAGCGCGACAGACCGGTATGTGTGTGTGTGTACAGTACTTGTATGCGTGTATGTGTGTACATGTATGTATGTGTATACATATCCCCACCGCTGTCAGACTGTACAATAAGTCACTTTGAATGATCACTGTGTGAAAACCTGCACTACTATTGACACTGTTTCCAATTGACACTTGTCACTTGTTGTACATAATTATTGTCACTTTTGTTGTACATATATATCCTGCATGTAACATGTTTGCACATTTCCTCCTTTTGCACAATCTGAGTGTCCTATCCATGCTAAATGTGACATGTAAATTTCTCCTATGTGAGATAAATAAAGCACATCTTATCTTATCTTATCTTATATGTGTATGTAAATATAAGAGAGTCGGCCCGGAGTTTACTGATACATTGGCACACACAGTTAGAGACGGACCCGCTCGTCACACCGTGCGAATAGGGCTTAAAATAGCGTTATTAAGAGACGTCCCCTCTCCCCTTTTTCTTTTTTTTTAACCGACAGCTTTGACCGGTTAACGCTGTGACAGTCAACCACCGATTAAACGGTCACCGATTTACATCCCTTCATAACACATTCCTCTCCTCTCTCTCTCTCGTCTCCTATCTCACCCGTACCCCCTCCTCTCTCCTCTCCTCTCTCCCCTCTTGTACATACGCTCTGGCCGCTCCCCGTTTGGGACGCGTGCCTGTGTCCTCCTCCTCTGGGGCCTCCCCCTGCTCATCCTGCACCTCCTTCACGATCACCTCCTCTCTCTTCCTCTTTGTGTATTTGCGTTTGGGTTTCGGCGTCTCGACTTCAGCGCCTCCTTCTCCATTCAGCTCCACAACAGCAGCTGCACAGTAAAACACGTTCATTAGCTTTAAATAAGACCACTCCCCACCTATGTCATCAGGCCCTGCCCCAACCATGGAAGTCTCAGAATCCTCACCCGCTGCATTACTCTTCTCTCCTGGTTTCCGTCCTGGTTTCCTTCCTGGTTTCTTTCCTGGTTTCCTTCCTGGTTTCCTGCCTCTGCGTGTGGGTAGTTTGGGGGGTACATATCCTTCCTCCTGCTCCTCCTCCTCCGTTTGCTCCTTGGCTTTTGCAGACACAGCGGTCCTCCTCCGTTTCGCTGCAGGAGTTTGACCGTCATAAACCTCGCTCACATGGAAATCTGTGAATCTAGAGTTTTTCTTTCGTTGTCGTCCGCGTGAACTCGGAGACAGCTCTGACGTGACATCTGCAACAACAATGAGAAGAACACTATCACGGGGGTCTTTCTCTCTCTGGTGTCTCTCCCTCTCTGGTCCCTCTCTCTTGTTCCTCTCTCTGGGCTCTCTCTCTGGTCTCTCCCTCTCTGGTCTCTCCCTCTCTGGTCCCTCTCTCTTGTTCCTCTCTCTGGTCTCTCCCTCTCTGGTCTCTCCCTCTCTGGTCCCTCTCTCTTGTTCCTCTCTCTTGTTCCTCTCTCTGGTCTCCCTCTCTGGTCTCTCCCTCTCTGGTCTCTCCCTCTCTGGTCTCTCCCTCTCTGGTCTCTCCCTCTGGTTCCTCTCTCTTGTTCCTCTCTCTGGGCTCTCTCTGGGCTCTATCTCTCCCACAATGATGGTCAATGTTGTAGCCACATCTGCCCTCCAAATTTTATCTCACTTTACAGCACAGTGGCAGAATGGTTCAAACCCTTGCTTCTCATCAGAAGGTCTTGAGTTCAAATCCTGGTGGGCATTGAGTGGGGTTTGCATGTTCTCCCCGTCCTCCAGTTTTCACCCCCACTGAACACGTGGATTAGCCTTTGTAATGTCCCCTGCTCCTCATCTCACGATTGGCCTTCATTGAGTTTGTAAATAGACAAAACACGCAGTTTCACCTGGCGCAGAGTTGGAGGCGTCTGGAGACGATGGAGTTTGCATCTTCTGTCATAACACTTCCATCTCTACTGTTCTCTTTGCCTTGAAGAGATAAGTTTCGGTCAGAATAAAAATCTACAGTGATATTAATGTTATTACAACGGCATCATTACGTCATTACATCAAATACAAGTCGAATAAGGGGAAGATGGTTTATTTACGAATACAATGAAAAACATGTTGAAATTCTGACAAAATCTGACTAAAATAATGTTGTTGCTAAAGATTTCACATATATTTCGGCAACATATTTTTTTGTGAATTAAATACATCATCCACTTTCCTCTTTGAGTCAACATTAGTCCAACATGACATCAGCGTAGAGTGACAGCTACACAACACGTCCTTTTAACGACTTCTACTGTTATATTAGCACTGTGCGTTCAACTACAATTCATCTGGACCTGGACAACATACTGTATAGTGTAAACTCACAAAAAACTAATTTCACAACTTAAAATGTGTAGTTAGTGTCAAAGCTGCTGCCACGCTCCGGAGCTAACCATGCTAACTGAAGCTAACTGAAGCTAACTGAAGCTAACAGTCACATGAGCAGTATGATTTCTGCTCATGTAAAAGTCATTACAAAATATAATTGAGAGTATGAGCATGGATCAGCAGGAGCAGTGTTTATAATCTCACCCAGCGGCAGTTTTCAGCTTCGGTCACTGTGGCGGAGTGGGGAAGGCGCTCAGACCTGATCCCAGAGACGTGAGATCGAGTCCCGACAAGTCCCAGACCTCACTCTCAACACGAAATTAAAGATTCGAACAATATCAGATGGTGATAAAGCTTATATCTCACACTACAGTTGTATCCACGCAGGGTTATGTTGTTTTTGCCTTTAATATTAAACAAAAATGCTGTGTGAGACTGAAGTCAGACCGCCATGTTACTGAAGCAGAGCAGTGTGACACAGCGCCATCTGATGGACACAGGTGAAAATGCAGCTTTTAATCTGTGTGTTGGGAAAATGCCAGACTGTAAATATTAGAATACTTACTGGGAATAATAAACATGTATTCCACGGCCATTAATTGAGAACTATTTAGCAACTTTAAAGCTGTGGTACCAAACCTTTCCCTCCCATGAATATTTAGAGATCTCATGACACTTTTAAGCAACTGCGGTTAAAGTTCTAACTCATCATTCTAACATATGCACAAGGCATTAATTTTCCACTACATGTTTTGGTATCTCAAGGCCAAGCTCTGGCACCGTGGTGATAGCTGATTGGAGGACTTCATTCCTCCATGCTGTATAATATCACTTGCATTCTGTAACATCTTTGTTCGTGCTGTCTCTACCATCAACATTAAAACATCTTCTGTCTGAAGTAAAGACACGATCCCAGACTTCGTCCATCATCTTCAAATATGTCTTGATAATTTGGGTGTACAATATGTCACTATTTGACTCTTCAAGCTGAGATCTGATTGGCTGAGTGAGGGTGGTCCTCGCTTTTAAATGTTTCTGTCTGAAAAAGCTGATATAAAGATTTGACAAGAGACCAGAAATGCATGAAACTAGTGATAAAAACAACTGTTTAGGAACCAGAAATTATAGACATGTCATGTATTTGTTCCATTGTTGTGGTTGGAAACCAGCTTTTTTATCACATACTCCAGTTTTAACAAGTCGTACCCTAGTTTTTCGTACGTACGTATTTTTAATGCTTGATAAACACATTTAACATTCATATGGGACTTTTAAGAGTCAAGTTTTGTAACCCTTCTGGGAATCCAAGATGGCCGCCGCAGTCACCATGAAAACGCTCGCGCTCTCTAGCCTATGTGCCGTTTACCTTCGAGTCCTCTGTGTTAATATATACAGTCTATGATTAATCTCCGATTTAAGAGCATGAAATGTATATGATATTCTGCAGATTAACTCGTATTAGTAGATAAATTAGCTTCGACCACTAGAACTTGATGATAGCGTGACTTCAGTTTCTGAAACCCAAGAGGGCCGCTGCTGTCACCATGGAAACACCCGCGTTCTCTAGTTCTGTGTTCCCCGGACTTCCGGCCTCTCTGTGATTGGCTGTGTGTTGTGTATAAATCCAAATCGCGCGCACTTTGAGTTTAGTCTCCTGTGTTTCCAGAGCACAGAGCCTCGTAGCTTTAGTTTCACGCTTTCACTTTCTTTTAACCAACTTCTTTAGGCTTTTAACTCTGTATTTATTGTATTTATCCCGTGACTGCGTGTGAACTGAAGCTTAAACATGTTGGCCGCCCGCTCTCCTCTGTCCGCGAAGAATGAAGCCGTGTCCAAGATGAACAGCCTGAGTCTGAACAAAGAGAACACGGTGAGAACAGTTCTGTGTTTGGAACTCTCTTTACGGTCTTCATGCAGTTTGTGCCTGTATAAGAGCACTACGCTGTTTACGTACCTTACGCTGATTACGCTGTTTCTTCCGCAGCCTCCCAGCCTCAACAACACCCGCATCTTGGCTTCGAAAACCGCTCGGAAAATCTTCTCTGACGCCTCGGTGAGCACATACCTCCGTTATTGCACTGTGTGTGTGGTTTGAGGGAGAGTAGTTTTAATGAGTTTGTTCAGAAGTGGCGCCGAAAGTGTTTCTGGCGCCAACAGCTGACGGCCGCCAGTCACGTGACTGAGATAATTTAAATCCTCCATTTCTACTGTGGTCCTCACTGAAACATGAGGGTCGCTCTGTTTCTATTCAGTTTTATTTACTTCTATCGACTTTACAGCAAAGTGGCAAAGTGAGAGGTCTGAGGAGAACAATGGCCAGAGATCTGCATCTGCTTTGTTCTTCAAACCGACTCTTGTTAAACACTAGGGCTCTCAGACCAGTCAAGTGATGGTTTCTGGTTTCTTTGTTTCTGTGTAGATTCTATGTCATGAATTGTTTTTAAATTATCTTATTTTTGCAATGTGAGAAGTTCTACCTTTAACTCCCAGAGCAGTTGTTATTTTCACCAGTTTTAGTAAATGTAAAACAGAACTACATTTACTGTAGTTCTGATCTTAAAGTAATCCTGGATCAGTCTCACATTTATCCGATGTAAAGACTGTTGATTGACGTGAAGACCTGTCTGCAGCCATCGCCGCAGAAGTCCTCGCCTCAGGAGGAACCTCTCCTGAAGGAAAACCCACGGCGCTTCGTCATCTTCCCCATTCAGTATCATGACATCTGGAGCATGTACAAGAAGGCAGAGGCTTCCTTCTGGACCGCCGAGGAGGTACTACTACTGACTCTCATGTACAAGAAGGCAGAGGTCTCCTTCTGGCCTGAGCCGATACTTCTACTTCATACTTGACTGATGACCTACATGCTTCCTTCTGTCCTACATAGTGACAGCTCCACTGGTCCTTCTCTCTCTAACCTACATTCAGCTCTCCACCAGAGAGCAGTGTGGAGTTACTGACTGAATTACCTGAATATTCCTCTAAACTCTCTTCAAATATTACAGCTTGATGTCTCATGTCTTGCAGGTGGACCTGTCCAAAGACCTGCAGCACTGGGAGTCTCTGAAGGACGACGAGAGATTCTTCATTTCTCACGTTTTGGCTTTTTTCGCCGCCAGCGACGGAATTGTCAACGAGAACCTGGTGAGGGTCTGGACCAACATGGACCAGTCTGTAGACCTGATAACTGATGTAGTATCATGTGTATCCTGCAGGTGGAGCGCTTCACTCAGGAGGTGCAGGTGACGGAGGCTCGCTGTTTCTATGGATTCCAGATTGCTATGGAGAACATCCACTCCGAGATGTACAGTCTGCTCATTGACACCTACATCAAGGACTCTCAGGAGAGGTGGGTCTGAGCTCCGAGAGAGTGGGGGGTCGCGAGGGTCTGTGTTAAAGCGTTTGTTTTTTTGCAGAGAATATCTGTTCAACGCTGTGGAGACTCTACCCTGTGTCAGGAAGAAGGCCGACTGGGCCCTGAACTGGATTGGCGACAAGAGCGCCGCCTTTGGTAGGTCTGGTGACTGCACCTGTATGTCTGAGGGGCTGCGTCCTGGTCCCTGGTCTCAGTCTGTTCTTTGATCTCCTCAGGGGAGCGGGTGGTGGCCTTTGCGGCGGTTGAGGGGATCTTCTTCTCTGGATCCTTCGCTGCCATTTTCTGGTTGAAGAAACGAGGCTTAATGCCAGGACTGACCTTCTCCAATGAGCTCATCAGCCGAGACGAGGTTCTTAAACAAGTTTTTCTTTGTGTCAAAATCACCTGCCACAGATATTACAAAACTCTAAATGAAAAATGTTGACTTGAATTCCTGAGTCATTTACGCTTTAAATTACTTGCCGTATTTCTCCTCCTTATATGATCTTTGGCGGGTCGTTTTACCGCCAACCTGTGTGGGGCACCTCAGGGCTTCACCCTAGGCCCTTTGTTCATGAAAGATTTCTGTGTTTTGTAGTACTTGTATTGCGGTCGTTGATGATGGGTGTGTGTGTGTCCAGGGCCTTCACTGTGACTTTGCCTGCCTCATGTTCAAACACCTGCTGAACAAACCCACACAAGAGAAAGTACTGAGCATCATCAGGGACGCAGTGGCCATCGAGCAGGTACTACTGCTGTTACTAATAGTACTGATACTGTCACCACTAAACCCAGATACATATAGTTGTAATTGACGGTGGTGTAATTCCCAGGAGTTCCTGACAGAGGCGCTGCCCGTGAAGCTGATTGGGATGAACTGCGAGCTCATGAAGCAGTACATCGAGTTTGTGGCCGACCGACTTCTGTTGGAGCTGGGTTTCGACAAGGTACTAGTTCTATACTGTACTCTAGTAGTACTGATCCTGCTGTGGGTCTCGGCGCAGTAATGTCTCTAGTTCTGGAGCTGGGTCTGGATCAGGGTCTGCTGCTGTGAATATAGCTGTTGTCTGAAGCAGTATTACAGTACTAGTACTGCAGTAAGTTTACTGCAATACGTGTGTGCCATGATGAGCTGCGCAGGGGTAATGACCTCAGCTGATGATGGGAGCTGAGTCTGTTCTGTTTCAGAGACACTGGTCACTGACAGAACAGACGACATGTACGCAACACTGAGCACACACTTAGTACTACTGCAGTACTAGTTACTGCATGTGTCAGTTATACTATAGTACAGAGGGGCTCTGAGTAATGGAGATGAGTTGAGTCATTTTGGTACAGATGTGTCTGGTTGCTGGTCTCTCATAGTAACCATGTGTTTCTGGTCGCAGGTGTACCGCTCGGAGAATCCCTTTGACTTCATGGAGAACATTTCTCTGGAGGGAAAGACTAACTTCTTTGAGAAGCGAGTGGGAGAGTATCAGAGGATGGGGGTCATGTCTGGGACCAGCGACAACACATTCAGACTAGACGCAGACTTCTGACCAAACACAGCGCAGCTTCAGACCTGTCACTGTGGTCCTACCTCCAAACGCACATGAACTTTGACCCCAGCTGCTGCTGTGTCCTGAGGCAAGACACTTGATCTGCCTCTTTTTAACTAAATGTTTTTATTTTTGCTTTTGTACAGAGTTTAGTTTGTAATAAAATATTGCACTTAAAACACTGAGCGTCAGTCTCTGTTTAAGACCAGTGTCTGGTTCATGGTCCTTAATGAGGACCATCTGTGGAACTGTTAAATAAAACTAATTCTGCATCAGGGGGTGCCCCAGGGCTCCCTCAGCCCTGTGTTCCTCTGTAGTGAAGGACCAAAATGTCCACAGGGCAGTTCCAGCTTTTAGTCAGCCACATATAATTACCTAAATCATCCATTTTTGGAAAAGAGATTTTGTGACAAACTACCAGATGTATTGAGTTTACAAAAAGGCCAATTGCTTAAAGGAATTACTTGGACTTTTTCATTTGAGAAGAAAACAAGCGTTATATTCAGTTCATTAAAGTGTCAACCTTAAACATTGTTTTCTTAATGGCCAAATTTAATACGTGAGGGAATGACTGGGTGAGATTGGCGGATCGGTACAGTGATTTACCAGTCACTCATTCCCGCCGGGCCTTTGGAAACTCATTTTCCCACTGTCTAGTGATGAGGGAGGTCAGCGTAGTACAGGTGGGCCCCTCTTGGTAGTACTGGTTTTATTGACAAGTCATTTCCTGAGAGTTAACGGCAAGGGAAGAGTGGGATCCAGTCAAATGGTTTTTTGGAGATGCTGAGTCAGTCAGACTCGATATCCAACTTGATTCAGGTTTGACCATCAGCCAACTACTGGAGAGCCCAGAGGCATCTGTGCAGTCTGAAAGATGACGACGTAATCATGTGGACTGAATATCTTTGTGCCGTGTGATCAGACTATGCATGGAGTCACACTCCGCGATGAGAAACTTTTATGGTGACACCATGCTTTATGACCAGATGAAGGTAGAACATCTACCTTCATCTGGTCATAATAAACCTTGATCTTTAATGTATTTTAATTATTATGATAATAGGCAATGATTTTGCCTATAAATATTTTCTGGTCATACCAAATGTTTATACATTATAGAAACATCAACAGTGTCTGCTAATGTTTGCAAGCTCCCATCTTATTGCAAAAATGTGATTCAAAGTTAAGTACAGTAAGAGACGAGCTGATGCTTCACTTGTGGACATGCTTTCTGACATTTTATCTGTAGCATCAAAAGTTGATGATGACTTCTGCAGATAAGAGTTTCTGTACTCTAATAATTGCTGTGATTGGATAATGACATGGGCAGATGACAGGGTGATGCAGCGCTGGGGAAGGGGAGTACAATTATGCTGTGTGGCTAAACGTTTTGCTCATGTTTGGAAAACCACTTTTCTAAAAGTGATCATTGACCACTTAACTGAGCTCTGGGGTCTTTATCTACTGACGGACCACAGGGTGCGCTGTGTGTGCAGTCACAGATTTCAGAATTAAACATCCACTGGATTAAAAATCAGATTTAAATGTTTTATTGAGGATAAACACATACTGAGAGCCTAAACATAAGATTCAATGCAAAACAATGTTGGGGCTGGTGCTCTAGACAAAACAATGTTCTCACTGATTATCCAATCAGAGAGCAGCGTGAGCGTCACATGATAAAGGAATGTTCTAGTTTCTGCAGCGGGAGACATGATTGTGGATTACTTTTATAGGTACAAACAAGTTCATATTAGGACCCTCCCTCACAGCAGCCGCACCTCCTCCAGCCTCAGGTCGCCGCTGACCTGCAGAGCATTGATGCAGCTCAAGTCCTGGACTCTGTGTTTGTAACTGAACTGATGAGAACCATTCAGGGCCACACGGAACTGACCCAGGTCCACCTGGACTATCATCTGAGGAGGAACCAGAGAGACAGGGACCGGAGAGAGAGCGACCAGAGAGAATCACATTAGTTTCTCATCCACATGGAATCTTACAGTTTACAAAATATTACACGGCTCGTTCTGTCATTATGGACCTTCTCACCTCAAAATACTGGTCTGGACCGAGGGGGAAGTCCTGGATCTCGGTCTCTTCTGGTCCCCAACAGTTGAACAGAAACGAGTTCCTCGAAAACGTCTGCTCCTTCAGGCGAGGGTTCAGGTGCAGCGCAATGTTTGAGGTTCCTCCAACCTCCAGGTTCAGGCACAGGCTGAGGACACACCAGAGAGACCAGGTGAGAGACTCCAGAGAGACTAGATAGAGACCAGGGACCAGTCTGACCTCTGTGCATTGGGGGTGGTCCGTCCTCTGATTGTGATGCTGCGTCCAGGACTCAGGCCTTTGTCGATGTCAGCTCTGAACGGAACCATCTGGAAAACCAGAAGAGAACATCACTGTCAAACATCCTCCACCTCCTCCCTCTCCTCCCACTGGTCACTCACCAGATCTCCCTTTGAGCACAGAGCTGGCTGTGGAAACAAATGTATAAATGAGAGACTCAGACGTTAGAACACAGCTGAGGTCTGTAACTTTAGGATCTACACACAGACATATTAAAGGTGAGGATCTTACAGCAGTGTTTGGAGATCTGCTCTGAGGCTCTGGACGCAGAACCGCCGTCTGCAACAGAAACATGGTCAACTGGAGTCTGCGCTCCTACGACTAGAGACTAGAGGACTGGGTGGTCCTAACAGAGACCAGAGGACTGGGTGGTCCTCACAGAGACCAGAGGACTGGGTGGTCCTCACAGAGACCAGAGGACTGGGTGAGTGACCTGTGGAGTTCCTCAGGGGTCGATCCTGGGACCTCATGTGTTCTTTATGCTGTTAGGTCAGCAACAATCACAACCTGCAAACCCAGACCTGGTTCAGACCTGGCTGGGCAGTACTGCGATGGTCTGAATGTGGACTTTCCCCTGGATCAGCAGAGTGTCCACTCTCCTCAGATCCACACGGTGTTTGTACTCTACCAGGTGAGCTCCATTCACCGCCACCTGGAAGAGACCAGATCTCAGTTTGGGTCTGGCTGGGGTCTGGCCTGGCCTGGCCTGGGTCTGATCGAGTCTGGTCTGGTACCTTGTACTGGTGGCTGAGGACCAGGATGAGCATCTCGAAGGCCTCTCCTGGTCTCAGAGGCATGACCTTGTGGATTTCCTCTCGGCCCCAGCGCTCCTGCACCAGAGAGTTACACACCACACACTTCTTCTTCACTCGAGGATTCAGATGGAAGGCCACGTCTGCCCTGGGAGAAACACTGCTGCCACACGTCAGGTCCACCTGGAACCTGCAGAACACCACAGGTAAAGCAGGTCTTAAGAAGAACTAAAGCAGGACTAAAGCAGGACTAAATAAGGACTGACCGGTCCACGTCGGTAGGGACACTTCCCTGGATCAGGAGCATCTCACCAGGGGCCAGTCCTCCGAGGATTGTCCCAGAGAACGGAACCATCTGCAAACAGAGAGCGGAGAGAGAGAGGGAGAGAGATTTTTCGTGAATCATGTGGCTTAATGAAATGCTGAAATGCCTTCTGTCCTTTAATAAGTATCATGTTACTTTCATTTCGAGTCTGCAGCATGGAGGATTTGATGTTTTGTGCATCAAATCATCCATTTACAATTACTTATTACAATGATGTCAGTATTGTAAAAACCCTAACCCAAGTAATTGTAAATGGATAATTTAATGTGCACTGAACTCGAAATAAAAAATAAACACACATTCAAAAATTATATTCAGACTTTGAACCGCGTCAAATACAAATAGACATTAGCCCACAATCAAACATTATAATAATAATAACCATAAACATGTGTTTAAATCCGTGTATTGAGTCCGACGGTATGATTCTTACGTCAGTAGAACAAAAGTTAATGTTACCACAGACAGAAACAGACAGGTCCACAGACGGTGGCGGGGCTCGGGAGACTCACCGGACTCACGAAGCTCTGTCTCGGGCTGGAGACACCGGAGCACGACATGTTTAAACCACAGACTTCAAAAACCGAGAAAACTACAACGAAACCGAATCAACAGCTGTTTACTTCCTCATGTGGAGCCGGCAACAATGCGCATGCGTACATCAATTCATACACTAATTAGCGGAAACCATGTGACACACAAGAAAGTTAGACCTGGGGTCTGTAACCTCAATATAGATCCATATTTCAGTCTCATAACATGTTTAAAGCTGTGGTCTGTAACTTTAGTCTCATAACACATGTTTAAAGCTGGGGTATTTAAATATTTTGCTAGTTATCCATCCATTTCTGGGTCAGGGGGATTGCACCCCTCCCTGATCCTTCAGTGAGTCTTGTTCTCTCAGCAGGGGTTAGTGGGGTTTAGTGTCTTGCCCAAGGATACGACAGCAGTGGGACAGTCATGGTAGGCTCCAGCTTCAGGTTCAAAGGCCAAAGCTTTATCAAATGAGTCACTGTCATGCCATGTTGTTCATCAATGTATGTCAAAAGCTGTCTCTTGGGGGCCTACAAATTTAACTAATGTTCTAGAATGTAAATAGTGTTGATACAAAATATGCCAAATTGTATCTCGTGGTAGAAGCTAGTCTAGACTAGTGGGTGTATAGCCTTGGTCCTGAGGGTCTATCAGTGATGATGCTGTTTGTGATTCTCTGAGCTGCTTTTGGTGGAAACATAACTTTGAAAAGTCTGATTTTTAAATGTTTATCCCCTTAAATCATAACACAAACAAATAAGAGCGTTCATGTTTATTTCATGTACAATATTTACAAAAAATATAAAAAGCTATTTACACACAAACTTTACTGGTCTGTTAGTGTATTTTAGTTCAAGACAAGAAGAAAAATCTTGTTTTGAGACATGAGTCAAACCAACGAAACTAAAACTTAAATTACTATAGTGGAGTTTCTACCAATAACACTGAATCCCACAGTGAAAACCTGCACTTATTAAAAACAAAGGATTTGCAGGATTTAAGACATTACATTTGAAGTCTTCACACTGGTCCCAAGTAAATCAGTCTACTTCAGCAGAAGCCAGTGGGACCCCAGAGGCTGAGAGACTCCAGAGACCAGTCCTGCCTGTATATGGAGCATATACAGAAGTCAGAAGTCTGCGTCTAGTCTGAATGTGTTGTCGCTGGTCCCAGACATGACCCCCATCCTCTGATACTCTCCCACTCGCTTCTCAAAGAAGTTAGTCTTTCCCTCCAGAGAAATGTTCTCCATGAAGTCAAAGGGATTCTCCGAGCGGTACACCTGCGACCAGAAACACATGGTTACTATGAGAGACCAGCAACCAGACACATCTGTACCAAAATGACTCAACTCATCTCCATTACTCAGAGCCCCTCTGTACTATAGTATAACTGACACATGCAGTAACTAGTACTGCAGTAGTACTAAGTAGTGTGTGCTCAGTGTTGCGTACATGTCGTCTGTTCTGTCAGTGACCAGTGTCTCTGAAACAGAACAGACTCAGCTCCCATCATCAGCTGTGGTCATTACCCCTGCGCAGCTCATCATGGCACACACGTATTGCAGTAAACTTACTGCAGTACTAGTACTGTAATACTGCTTCAGACAACAGCTATATTCACAGCAGCAGACCCTGATCCAGACCCAGCTCCAGAACTAGAGACATTACTGCGCCGAGACCCACAGCAGGATCAGTACTACTAGAGTACAGTATAGAACTAGTACCTTGTCGAAACCCAGCTCCAACAGAAGTCGGTCGGCCACAAACTCGATGTACTGCTTCATGAGCTCGCAGTTCATCCCAATCAGCTTCACGGGCAGCGCCTCTGTCAGGAACTCCTGGGAATTACACCACCGTCAATTACAACTATATGTATCTGGGTTTAGTGGTGACAGTATCAGTACTATTAGTAACAGCAGTAGTACCTGCTCGATGGCCACTGCGTCCCTGATGATGCTCAGTACTTTCTCTTGTGTGGGTTTGTTCAGCAGGTGTTTGAACATGAGGCAGGCAAAGTCACAGTGAAGGCCCTGGACACACACACACACCCATCATCAACGACCGCAATACAAGTACTACAAAACACAGAAATCTTTCATGAACAAAGGGCCTAGGGTGAAGCCCTGAGGTGCCCCACACAGGTTGGCGGTAAAACGACCCGCCAAAGATCATATAAGGAGGAGAAATACGGCAAGTAATTTAAAGCGTAAATGACTCAGGAATTCAAGTCAACATTTTTCATTTAGAGTTTTGTAATATCTGTGGCAGGTGATTTTGACACAAAGAAAAACTTGTTTAAGAACCTCGTCTCGGCTGATGAGCTCATTGGAGAAGGTCAGTCCTGGCATTAAGCCTCGTTTCTTCAACCAGAAAATGGCAGCGAAGGATCCAGAGAAGAAGATCCCCTCAACCGCTGCAAAGGCCACCACCCGCTCCCCTGAGGAGATCAAAGAACAGACTGAGACCAGGGACCAGGACGCAGCCCCTCAGACATACAGGTGCAGTCACCAGACCTACCAAAGGCGGCGCTCTTGTCGCCAATCCAGTTCAGGGCCCAGTCGGCCTTCTTCCTGACACAGGGTAGAGTCTCCACAGCGTTGAACAGATATTCTCTGCAAAAAAACAAACGCTTTAACACAGACCCTCGCGACCCCCCACTCTCTCGGAGCTCAGACCCACCTCTCCTGAGAGTCCTTGATGTAGGTGTCAATGAGCAGACTGTACATCTCGGAGTGGATGTTCTCCATAGCAATCTGGAATCCATAGAAACAGCGAGCCTCCGTCACCTGCACCTCCTGAGTGAAGCGCTCCACCTGCAGGATACACATGATACTACATCAGTTATCAGGTCTACAGACTGGTCCATGTTGGTCCAGACCCTCACCAGGTTCTCGTTGACAATTCCGTCGCTGGCGGCGAAAAAAGCCAAAACGTGAGAAATGAAGAATCTCTCGTCGTCCTTCAGAGACTCCCAGTGCTGCAGGTCTTTGGACAGGTCCACCTGCAAGACATGAGACATCAAGCTGTAATATTTGAAGAGAGTTTAGAGGAATATTCAGGTAATTCAGTCAGTAACTCCACACTGCTCTCTGGTGGAGAGCTGAATGTAGGTTAGAGAGAGAAGGACCAGTGGAGCTGTCACTATGTAGGACAGAAGGAAGCATGTAGGTCATCAGTCAAGTATGAAGTAGAAGTATCGGCTCAGGCCAGAAGGAGACCTCTGCCTTCTTGTACATGAGAGTCAGTAGTAGTACCTCCTCGGCGGTCCAGAAGGAAGCCTCTGCCTTCTTGTACATGCTCCAGATGTCATGATACTGAATGGGGAAGATGACGAAGCGCCGTGGGTTTTCCTTCAGGAGAGGTTCCTCCTGAGGCGAGGACTTCTGCGGCGATGGCTGCAGACAGGTCTTCACGTCAATCAACAGTCTTTACATCGGATAAATGTGAGACTGATCCAGGATTACTTTAAGATCAGAACTACAGTAAATGTAGTTCTGTTTTACATTTACTAAAACTGGTGAAAATAACAACTGCTCTGGGAGTTAAAGGTAGAACTTCTCACATTGCAAAAATAAGATAATTTAAAAACAATTCATGACATAGAATCTACACAGAAACAAAGAAACCAGAAACCATCACTTGACTGGTCTGAGAGCCCTAGTGTTTAACAAGAGTCGGTTTGAAGAACAAAGCAGATGCAGATCTCTGGCCATTGTTCTCCTCAGACCTCTCACTTTGCCACTTTGCTGTAAAGTCGATAGAAGTAAATAAAACTGAATAGAAACAGAGCGACCCTCATGTTTCAGTGAGGACCACAGTAGAAATGGAGGATTTAAATTATCTCAGTCACGTGACTGGCGGCCGTCAGCTGTTGGCGCCAGAAACACTTTCGGCGCCACTTCTGAACAAACTCATTAAAACTACTCTCCCTCAAACCACACACACAGTGCAATAACGGAGGTATGTGCTCACCGAGGCGTCAGAGAAGATTTTCCGAGCGGTTTTCGAAGCCAAGATGCGGGTGTTGTTGAGGCTGGGAGGCTGCGGAAGAAACAGCGTAATCAGCGTAAGGTACGTAAACAGCGTAGTGCTCTTATACAGGCACAAACTGCATGAAGACCGTAAAGAGAGTTCCAAACACAGAACTGTTCTCACCGTGTTCTCTTTGTTCAGACTCAGGCTGTTCATCTTGGACACGGCTTCATTCTTCGCGGACAGAGGAGAGCGGGCGGCCAACATGTTTAAGCTTCAGTTCACACGCAGTCACGGGATAAATACAATAAATACAGAGTTAAAAGCCTAAAGAAGTTGGTTAAAAGAAAGTGAAAGCGTGAAACTAAAGCTACGAGGCTCTGTGCTCTGGAAACACAGGAGACTAAACTCAAAGTGCGCGCGATTTGGATTTATACACAACACACAGCCAATCACAGAGAGGCCGGAAGTCCGGGGAACACAGAACTCCCTGTGAAAAGCCGTTGAAAGAGTTACAAAACTGCAGAAATAAAAAGTTATGAAACCGTAAAACAGTGTCTGAATGTAACTGTGTCCACAAACTCACCACGAAATCAGCTCCATTTTAATTAATTAGTCACTTTATAATCTTTTTTTAATACATTTACAAAACATTAAAACCTTACAAAAAACCTTACACTTTAGTCAGTGTTTACAGTTAAAACATCTATCTTCATTCATCTGCTGCAATCCACGTCTACATCATGGATCTATAAGAGACTAGAAATAGACTACACTAGAAAGAGAGACCACAGATGGAGAGACCAGAGAAATAATACCATGTGAAGCATCTTTGAGTGCCCAAAAAACACTGTAAAACCAATGCGTTATTAATATTACAATCTAACATAAGGTTTTATCTCCCATGAAATTGTGATATCTCTCTTTTTGGTCTCTTTCTCGCTCTCTGGCATGGATGTATTAGTTATATTATCTCTGGGGTCTCTCTGATCTGCTTCAGCCTTTACTCCTTTTGAGCTTGTACCAAAGTCTTTAATTTGTAAAGGTGTCCCAACACAAGTATTTAAACAGCTCAAATAAATGTAAATCTAAGATATCCCTAATCTCTCTGATAAACAGTATCATCCACCGTCTTTGTGTTTGAACCAATTTTTTCCACCAAGAAGAATGGCACTATTCTCTAATGTCAACTTTGGTGTTAGATTGTCACTGGGTTTGAATTAAGCTACAAAAGTCAAAGCTGTTGTTGTTTAGACTTTGAGTACGTCTCCCTTATACATACACAAGATTATAACAGAGACATACAATTGTGGCTTAAACGTAGACAGTAAACGGATATAAACAGTCTGTATTTTGGCTCAAACTGAATCCTTTGTCTGATTTCCCTCCTAAATAAAACACTTGTGTAATGTTTACCCCTGCACAGATCATCTCAGTAGGAAGAGCGTCACTATGAACGAAAAATACAGGTCATTACCAATAATGACTAATAATGGTAATGACCGTATTTTTGCACACAGGCATACCAGTATCATTTGTATGTTGAAGTCGAATATAAGCACGACGTACATTTACAATAAATACATGGGAGGTTCGCATTGGAGTAAGACCTCTGTCGCTTTATTATTCCAATCAGAACACACACACGATCTTTGTCTGGCTCGCTGTTTCTTCGAATAATTCGAAATAAAACTATTAAACTATTATATAACAATTTCATCCAAATCGAGTCCATATCAATGTAATAATTGAAGAAAATGACAATCGTCTGGGGTCGTGTCTTTCAGACAAAAGACATGTCGATGGTAGAGACAGGCACAACATTCACAGTCATCATTGTAGCGAATGGCTTCGGCCACCGCGGTAAAGTGGGCCGCATCTTTCACCTCCGAAGTAAAACGGCCCGCATCGAGAGAAAAGCAGTGCGCGTTTTGTTGACTGCTTACGGTAATAGCAGAACAGCCTTTCGCTGTCAGCTTTTCTCCTCGAACAGAAAGCGCGCTTAGGAGACTCGTTTTGTGAATAAACCCTTATTTGGAAAAGCATGTAAAAACTTAAAATGTTCGACATTTAATTTGGTCAAAAAGTGAAATTTATTATTATTATTCCACTGGGTGTATGACCTCACCACTGCCTTCACCGCTGTGCCTACAACCACAAACCTTTACTTTGGAAATTGTGGGTAAAATTGAGACAAATTACACGTTTTAGTCCAAAATACACAAAACTAAGAAAATTCCCACCTTTGATCTACTGCAGTGTCTCCCAAAGTGGGGTCCGCGGCCCCCTGGTGGGCCGCGAGGGTACTGCAGGGGGGCCGCGGGAGGTCATAAAAAAAAAATATATATATATAATTATTTAATGTTAAATTTATAATGTTTTGTTTGTAATATTAAAGTATTTGTGTTCATTATTTGACTTGAATAATCCACTGTAATCATTTTTGTATTACAATGTTTGTAGCAGAGGCTATTTCCCCAAAATAAAATAACCAGAAGAGCCTATTCTTAATGTTGTCTTCTTGGTTATTATTTTGGGGGGCCACGCAGACCCGTCAGATTTTTAAGGGGGCCTCGGTGTTACTGAATTTGGGAATGGCTGATCTACTGTAACTTTTTTACTGTAAAAAGGTGTGAGACTAATTTCACTGGATTCATGACCTCAACATTGCCCTCTACCACTGTACAGTAAAAAGAAACATTTACTGTAGAAATTTTGAGAAATACTGATTTAAAGAAGCCATTTTGGTCCAAAATACCTCCAAAATAGTCAAAACATGTCATTTTTGATCTACTGTATCTTCTTACTGTAAAAAGGTGTGCGACTAATTTCACTGGATTCATGACCTCAACATTTTCCCTCTACCACTGTACCAAAGAACTTTTACTGTAGAAATTTGGAGAAATATGGAGTTAAAGTAGCCATTTGGGTCCAAAATAGCCTAAAAATGGTCAAAACATGTCACTTTTGATCTACTGTAACTTTTCACTGTAAAAAGGTGTGCGACTAATTTCACTGGATTCATGACCTCATGATTGCCCTCTACCACTGTACCAAAGACCAGGAACTTTTACTGTAGGAATATTGAGAAATATTGATTTAAAGTAGCCATCAGGAGCGGAACGTTGTGTTGGCGGCTTGTGTCTACCCGGAGTGTTTAGGCACACACACAGCGGCGCAGTCATGACAGAAGGAGAACATCCAGAAAACTGCGAAACTGCGAAAACGCGGCAGACGATCGCGAGCAACAGAGACGAAGACAGAACCCAGATCGTCACAGGTTGACTTAAGTGTCGTGTTTGTTATAACAGCGTTCGCTCTGAGGGGGAGGGGCCACGGAGAGAGTAGTCAATGAGTCTATCATCAGTCCATGAGACTAGCTCTGCTTTTGTGTTATCCCAGAGTTGATGATGGTTCCAACGTCGTGAAATTGCTCAGTGGGCTATAACCTAGGGTATGCAATTCAACCCAAGTAAAACCAAGGCAATTTTGTTTTCCAAAGTCCAATGTACTAACACTGACATTCAATTCATGGACCGTCCAGTCGAAATGGTCAAAGAACCATGGTTCTTTCTTTGAGGTCATTTGTGACCTCAAAGAATTTGAGGTCACAAATGACCTAAAATTTGAGTTGACTCCATTTGCAGAAAGGTGGCTTCTCAACTGTTCCTCCTCCGCAGACTCTCCCTCTCTGTTCATGACACGATCCTATTAACAAGATTGTATAAAAGCTATATCCTGCCTCATTTTGAATATGCATCACCTGTCTGGGCTGCTCTCAATGTAACACAATCTAACCGCTTAGAGAAACTCCAACGTCGAGCCATTAGGACCATACTACAGTACTCCTACACTCAACCAGTCGCTGATGATGACTACAAAGAACTAAAATTGACCACATTGAAACAAAGGAGAAACTTTGCAGTGATGTGCTATGGCTACAAGCTGCTGCATGGACTACTCCCAAAGGCTCTCCAATCCCAGTGTCCAATCATCAGAAGAACCCAAATCCAAACACGGAACAAAACACTGATCCATGTGGGCATAGAGCACCCAACAAGTCGAGCACTGGACCGCTCTCCATCATATTTGCTACTAAACAAAATTCCAAGACTGTGGGACTGTCCTTCTCTAGACTCTTTTAAAAATAAACTATGGTTCATTCCATTTTTGGAATCTAAAAAGAAACTAAAAACAATTACTCAAAACCCAATAATTTCCTCTACATTTGATGCCTGGCAGCAATTACACATATCAGTTGGACAAAACATAAATTTGTTGGTAAATTCACCACTCACAAATAATCCTAACATCCCAGCAGCCTTAGCGGATGGAATTTTACAAAATTGGGTGAGAAAAGGAGTAAAAATTGTTGGTGACCTTTATACTAATAATGTCTTTTTAAGTTTTAGTCAAATGTTAGAAGTTTATGATATAGATAAACGTAACTTTTTCAAATATTTACAAATTAGAAGCTGGATCAAGAGTCAAACTAAAGCTATTTTTCCACACAGACCTGAGGAATCTTTACTTGAAAAATGCATTTTAAACCCCAAATGCAAGAGAACTAAAGGTTTAATATCTACTGTGTATAAAATCATAATAGACAACTTACCGGCTTATGCTAGATATTTAAACAAAACAAGATGGGAATCTGATCTTGGGTGTATTTATACGGAGGATAATTGGAATAGATTATTGAAATTGGCACAAACGAAATTGGTGTCTACTAAACACAGACAAATTCAATTCAATATTTACCACAGAACATATTTTACACCATATAGGTTAAGTAAATTAGGAAACGACATCTCTGATCAATGTCAAAGATGCTCCATCTCTGTTGGAACCCTTGTGCACATGCTATGGAGTTGTACCCATCTGAAGCCATACTGGACTCACATCATCGCAGTGACCTCTCGAGTTTGTGGACAGGCTCTGGATGCTGATCCTCGGATTTGGTTGCTGGGAGATGTAACTTTACTAAAGGTGAACTCAAATCAGAAACATTTTGTGTTATTAGCTGCAACAGCTGCCAAGAAGTGTATCCTGAAGGATTGGAAGAGTATCAATCCCCCCAGCCAAAGGAAAAATTATGCATGCTATCCGAGGAAAACTAGACGACTTTGAACTGACTTGGACTCCTTTTTTGAATATGCTGACTCAACTTGACATGACCACAGACTAGATGTAAAACTGTGTCTATTACTGTTTGTCTCTTTTTATGATTATTTATTTTATTGTCTTGCTGAGAGAGGGTTTTTATTTTTATTTTATTTTTGTTTATTTTTTGTTTTTTGTGTTTGTTCAAAAAAATGAAAACCATAAATAAAACATATAAAAAAAAAAAAAAAAAATAAACTATGGGACGTTGAGGAAAGGCAGATCTTTGATATAATGTTTTAAATACCCAGCCGTCAAAGCCTTCGGGCACGACGCTTTGAACACAAAGCTGTGATTAAAAATTAAAATAAAAATCACGGGTGGAACAAATTGCAATTCTTTCTATGAAGTGCTACGTGCTTTTAAGGTGCTCCACAGCTGTTGGCATTAAAGTAGTTCCCATCCTTGTCCTGCACCCAGGGCGCCGTCCTGAGGTCAAACGTTCTCACAGACTGTATACAGATTGACAAAGCTTACCTGCAAGCTCAATGAACGTACATTTCTCCATTGTGAGATCAACAAAGTATCTTATCTCTTAATGAAGCCCTGCGGGGAAGTGCTCATGTTGAAGTTTGTCTGTTTGCAGGAGTGGTGTTTCTGTCCACTGTGGCCTCCGCTGGACTCATCGCAGGATTCGGATCAACTCTGGCTCTGGCCAAAAAGAAGAGTCCGGACTGGTTCAACAAGGTTCAGACTCATACCAGATACACTCCTTGCCCCTTCTGTCTCCATGACCTGTTTTCAAACTTGTGACAAACAGGCGCATTCCAACTGAGTCTCCTCTTCCTCAAACACTGAGGACATGGGCTGGTGTCAGACCAACTGGGCCTCTAACCCGCCTTGCGACTGTATCTCACCCTGACAAAATACAGTATAATTAAACTCAAAACTAAACTTTCTGATCTCTCTCTCAGGTCTCTCTCTTGCTCAGTCTCTCTCTCTCTGGTTTCTCTCTCTCAGGTCTCTCTCTTGCTCAGTCTCTCTCTCTCTGGTTTCTCTCTCTCAGGTCTCTCTCTTGCTCAGTCTCTCTCTCTCTGGTTTCTCTCTCAGGTCTCTCTCTCACTCAGTCTCTCTCTCTCTGGTTTCTCTCTCAGGTCTCTCTCTCACTCAGTCTCTCTCTCTCTGGTTTCTCTCTCTCAGGTCTCTCTCTCACTCAGTCTCTCTCTCTCTGGTTTCTCTCTCAGGTCTCTCTCTCACTCAGTCTCTCTCTCTCTGGTTTCTCTCTCAGGTCTCTCTCTCACTCAGTCTCTCTCTCTCTGGTTTCTCTCTTTCAGGTCTCTCTCTCACTCAGTCTCTCTCTCTCTGGTTTCTCTCTCACTCAGTCTCTCTCTCTCTGGTTTCTCTCTCAGGTCTCTCTCTCACTCAGTCTCTCTCTCTCTCAGGTCTCTCTCTCACTCAGTCTCTCTCTCTCTCTGGTTTCTCTCTCTCAGGTCTCTCTCTCACTCAGGTCTCTCTCTCACTCAGTCTCTCTGGTCTCTCTCTACTCTTTCCTCATGTGTACTTCTTGTGTGTAGGGAGTGTCAGCCTCAGTCGTGGTCCCAGAGTCTGGATCTTCTTTGGCTCTCAGGGCCCTGGGCTGGGGTTCGCTCTGGGCCTGGTGCGGAGTGGGACTCATCACTGTGACTGTCTGCAAGGTCCTGAACGTCCACTCTGTATGTCGTGCTTTATTCCAGTTTTAGACCTGTTTCAGTCTTGCTTTAGTCCTTCTTTCGTCCTGCTAATGCCTCATGTTGTCTTTTGTCCCAGTTTTCTGACTTCAGGCAGAAGATGCAGACCTTCTTCCCCGTGATCCCAAAGTCCAGCTCTGGTCCAGACTCTGTTGACTGGGACTCTCTGTTCTCCACCCCAACAGATGCTAAAGCTAGCTGTGCTAACACTGCTAACTCTGCTAATACCACGGCAAAACCATAGACCATAGGACAGAACTGGGAATTTGATTTATGTAAATGTTTGTAAATATGAATAAATTATGATATTTTATAAAGGTATTGTGTTTATAAGTCTTTTCAGATCCTTTTATAAGTATAGAACAAGATTAATGACCAAACCTACGTCTGTTTTTTTATGGAAGCCCGTTTCCGCCATGTAAAAAAAAAAGCAAACAGAAAGTCAAAAATTTGAGTTTAAAACTCAAAATTACGACTTTTAAAAGTCAAAATTACGAGTTTTCAACTGCGCATGTGCAGTTGAAAACTCGTGTGTGTTGTTGTCTGGAACGGTCTCTGGACGTCCTTCACCTGCAGATTATGAAGATATTGCCGACAGCGACCACTGCATCCATGAAGTAGCCAGAAATAATGTTGTTTGTGATTGATTCTGTAAAACTTTCCTGTTTAAGCCTCAGACCGCGGTCGTAGGACGCAGGGGGGGCTGTCTTTTTATTTATTTATGTTAAATTCAATTTACATATATACAACATTTAAATCAAACGACTTCTTATTTTGACATAGTAACAAATAATGTGAGCAATATGTTTTTATAATAAATCAAAGGAAAATGAGCCATCGAGACATTCCAATCCAATCTGCTGTAGACCACTCTGACCAGACGATGGCGCTGAGAGGGGTCCACACGGAGCGAGTATTTCCACGGCTGAAATGATGCGCTTTCTACGTGTTGTGTACGGGGTTTTATTCATGCATCTATAATGGGTTTAACTCCCTTTTCAAAGACCCTCACTGTTATCTGCGGAGTTATTTCTCCGGATTGTTGCTAAAAGAGTCGTGGGCTTTATTTTGCCACAATAAAATAATCAGACAAGGCACTTATTCCCTGTATGTCCATGTGTTCTTGCTCATACGCCAACAACTTTACCACACGCTCCATCAGCTCACCCCCGCGTGCACGCAAACACGTCACATACTCTTCAATGCACTGATCGCAATTCCAAAAGGGTAATATTGTCAGTGCCCGTGACTGTGGTTCTCCTGCCTCTGTCTGTGGTTCTCCTGCCTCTGTCTGTGGTTCTCCTGCCTCTGTCTGTGGTTCTCCTGCCTCTGTCTGTGGTTCTCCTGCCTCTGTCTGTGGTTCTCCTGCCTCTGTCTGTGGTTCTCCTGCCTCTGTCTGTGGTTCTCCTGCCTCTGTCTGTGGTTCTCCTGCCTCTGTCTGTGGTTCTCCTGTCTCTGTCTGTCTATCATTCACTGCATTTCTGGTGCATCCATCGATAGCCGTGATACTGACCAGATGTCACCAGTTGATGCTCAATGACTTTGAACAGCCGCATGTGTTTTATTATTAATCTTCCACAGTCCGTTTAGGATAAACTAAATAGAGGCTTCTGAAGCGGATTCTAATCATAAACGGAGAGACCGTTTGCATTTTAACGCGATTACTACCACAACATTATTGCTGCTACTTCATGGATGTGGTCACTGTCTGTAGGAAATATCTTCACATAATCTGCAGGTAGAGGATGACCCATGGTCATGGATCTATAACAGGGATGACCAGAGACCGTTCCAGACAACAACACATACTAGTTTTCAACTGCACATGCGCAGTTGAAAACTCGTAATTTTGAGTTTTAAAGTCGAAATTTTGAGTTTTAAAGTCAAAATTTTGACTTTCTGTAGGCTTTTTTTTTACATGGCGGAAACGGGCTTCTATAGTTTTTAGAATTTAAATTTAGAAGTTAATATTTTCTCGTTCGCTGTTCTATATCATAGCCGCTAGAGGACGCCACACTTCCACAGATGGAATAGATCATTTTCTGAGGCTGCAGTTGCTTCGTTGTCCATGTGGCGTCGCTTCAGATCGATCACTGACTGCACTCTACGTCAAACAATTCTGCCCTCTGATTGGTCACGCCCCCCACATTCCGTGCTGTGATTGGCTAAGAGCTGTTACCGGGCGCTTCGGGGGCACGGCGGCCGAGCCAGGGTGCATTCAGAGCGGGCAGGAGCAGAGTGAAGAGCCGCTGAGACCTCCGTTCCCCCTTACCCGCACTTCCGCTCCTCCTCATCCGCACTTATGCAACAGTTCACCGGGTACAAGCCTTTCCGCAGCCCTGACCTACTTACGAGCCCCACTGACTCCATTACCAGTTAAAGCTCGGGTCTGTAACTTTAAAGCTCCGGTATGTAACTTTCAGACCACAACAACAGAACTCTGTATTACACCCATGTCTCTGGTTCTGGCTATCAGCCCAAAGAGGCAGATAGTGACTCACCGGGATTTCTTACATAAAAGGTGAAGACTTCTGATTTGTTCAATGAGACGCTCTGGGGAGATCGTGCAGTTCAAGCAAAGCAGCCCAGGAATTTACAGGAACTGGAGAAGAATGACCAGATTTATCTTCAGAAAGAATACCAGACAGACTAAAGAGAGACCAGAGCGAGACCAGACCTGGTTGAGTCCTGGTTCAGTCTCAGATCCTACTCAGACTCAGTATTATTGGTCTCTGTTTTGTGTTTGTGAAGAGTTTAGGGTAGCTGAGGATAATCAGGTCTCATCAGTTCAGAGTCTGAGGCTGGGACTCGAGTCGTGCTTTGGTCCTGCTTTAGACCTGCTTTAGACCTGTTTTAGACCTGCTTAAGTCCTGCTTAAGTCCTGCTTTAGACCTGCTTTAGACTTGGTTCAGTGTAACATTATCTTTTGGTTCTCGTGTCTGTAACTGTGATGGAGATGATTGGGGCAAAACGTGATTAAAATTGAAGCTCAGGTCAGTCCAGATCAGTCCAGGTCGGGTTCAGGTTTAGAGTCTGTGTTTTGTTTAATAAACTATGAACAAACTAACAGTCTGGTTTGTTGTGTGTTGGCTTCATAATACTGTTAGCTTGATTAGCTCAGACTGCAGATGCATCACTGCAGACAGGAGCTCTCACTGCAGACGCTGCTCCAACCATCTGTCCTTGCCTCACTGAGATCAAGACCTGAGACTTCTGCACCAGGTGAAGACCAGGACCAAGAGAAGACAAGGACAAGGAGAGGACCAGGACCAAGAGAAGACAAGGACAAGGAGAGGACCAGGACATAGGACCAGGAGAAGACAAGGAAGCACAAGTGCTAACCACTGCATTTGTTTTTGTTTTAGATTCATCATGATCATGTGACTCTTCTGTCTGAAAGTCCTTTCTCCTCTACATCATCGGGGAAATGTTCCAGCTCCACCAAAAACTATCGCTCTCTGGAGCGCGGTGAAGTCACATCACTTCTCTGAGGTGACGTCATAAGAACAAAACGTGAGAGCCTCTTCTTTTTCTCTGTGTCCTGTGTAAGCCTCCGAAGCAGCGAACCCAGTCACCCCAGTGCTGCTGTCTGTGCTGCTGTCTGTGCGGCGCACTGGGGTGTGTGGGAGGGGGCGGGGCCTGAAAGGGGAGGGGCGGGGCCTGCAGGAGGACCAGAGCCCGCAGGACCGGCACGTGCCTCCTGTTTACACTACGACAGAAAACAGATCCAGGTTTTTGACGTTTCTACAAAGATTAGAAAGACTTCTGTGAAATCAGAAATCCTGAATCTTTTATAATAAAATATAAATCCTGTATATTCTATCATAAATATATAGTTGTTCGTTTACATCTGTAGCAGCATGAGACTCTGGGACAGTGACACATGTGGTTATTGCACATTCTGACATGTGTTCAGATGTACGTCATGAGTTTGTTAGTCCTCATTGTTCACACAGAGGGTGGAGTAGTCTGTCACTGAAGCTGCTCTCCAGAGCAGACAAGGGGGCAGGGGGCGACTGTCATGGTCCACTTAAATGCTGTTCCAGCTTCTTCCTGTCTCATTCTGTGATGCTGCTGCTCCAAAAGACCTGAGCCTCCTCAGCAGAGCCTCCTCAGCGGCTGTCTTCCCATGGGCTGGACTTGTGGGCTGCACCCCCTCCCCGCCTGGGACTCGCCACTGAGAACGTGCAAACTCCACGCAGACAAGAGGTATAGAATCGGACCCAGAACTTGGGTTTGAAACCTCGGAGCTTGTGTGTGGTCTCCTCGTCTCCTCCTCCCTCTGCTGCAAAGGTCTGTCTCACTCGTGTCCGGTTGTATTCACATAAATCCTCTGTGGATATTGACTTGTTTTTCTGCATCTGGAACAAAGAGGAAATACAGGGACCAGAGAGAAACCAGAGAGAGAAACCAGAGAGAGAAACCAGAGAGAGAGACCAGAGAGAGACCAGAGAGAGAGAGACTAGAGAGAGAGACTAGAGAGAGGGACCAGAGAGAGAGAGACTAGAGAGAGAGACCAGAGAGAGGGACCAGAGAGAGAGACCAGAGAGAGAGACCAGAGAGAAACCAGAGAGAAACCAGAGAGAGAGACCAGAGAGAGAGACCAGAGAGAGAGACCAGAGAGAGACCAGAGAGAGAGCAGAGAGAGAGACTAGAGAGAGAGACCAGAGAGAGAGACCATAGAGAGGGACCAGAGAGAGAGACCAGAGAGAGAGACCAGAGAGAGAGACCAGAGAGAGAGACCAGAGAGAGAGACCAGAGAGAGAGCAGAGAGAGAGCAGAGAGAGAGCAGAGACCAGAGAGATGTCATGGACTTAAGCTGTTGCTAATGTCCCTCAGACAAAAAGCAAGCGCAGTGAGAGACCAGAGAGAGACCAGAGAGAGAGCAGAGAGAGAGACCAGAGAAAGACCAGAGAGAGACTAACCTCCAACCTCAAAACCATGTATATAGTATAGTAGTCCAAAAAACCATTATTATTATAATTATTATTATAGATAAATAAACCGGACTGATCAGTCTGCAGCAGCTGCTATTCCACGGCTCTTCTCTCAGGGTCCTCTCTCGCCAGTCCCCCTCCCCCAACCTTTCCCCCAGTTCAGTGCACGGACCCGGGTTCAGCGAGTTTACCCTGACACCGCTGACTCCCGTACCCGCCCCCTTGGAGCCACGCACCCCGGCTGCTCCAGTCGCATCACACCGGGGCCTGGCTCTCTCTCCTCCGCCTCTCTGATTGGCTGAGCTTCGCTACACCTTTGGCTCTGATTGGCTGCCTGTTACCACCCAACACAACGCACTCTGAGGGAATTGTGTGTTTTTCCCTCTTCTCTCCTCTTTTTCCCGTGATTATGTTTTTGTAAATTTTCCAGATGATCCAGGAGCAGCGGGAGCAGGCACACGCGCTCAGCCCGGTCCGTGACGCTTGCTCCCCGACTTGGCTTCGCGTCGTGTCCCGGTGAAACCTCCAGGCTGGTTCCCACACTTTCACCTGGGTTTACCCCGAGCAGCGCGCTCCTCTGGCGGACACAGTTGGACCACAGCGCACAGGTCAGTCCCTGGTCTCCTCTCACACATGCATCCTCAGTATTCTGCATTACTCTCAGTATTTGTGCAACTTTGTCAGTGTTTGCGCGTGCACGCCGCTCCGCCGTCACTTTGTTATTTAAATTTTTTTGGGGCAGGTTTATGTGAGGACACGGTCTGCTGTAATGACTGCAGTCTGCTCTCGGGTCTGGCGCGCAGGACGTCAGCCATCCACTGAAACTACTACAAAAACTACAGAAGAAGAACCGGGTTTAATGTGGATTCTAGTGTTTTTTATCATCTCTTAACTTTATTCAAACTTAATAAACAAATAAATGCTTTTAGATTAAAGTGGAGAATTATCTGCTAATGTTGTGGAGGATTCAGACCTGGTTCAGTCCTGTTTCAAACCTGGTTCAGTCCTGTTTCAAACCTGGTTCAGACCTGGTTCAGAGGACGCAGTCTCCAAATCTGTCTTTGTTTGTGCCTCCTTTATGTTGAATTAACACAACTCCCCTTGAGAAGTCTTAAAGCTGGGATCTGTAACTTTCAAACCACAACAATAGAACTCTGTATTAAACCCATGTCTGTAGTTCTGTCTCTAAAACAGTTGCTTCTGTCACATCAGCTCTCAGCCCAAAGAGGCAGATAGTGACTCACAGGGTTCTTTGTATCACAGAAGATGAAGACAGGATGTGGTGAGACTAAAGTTACAGACCCCAGCTTTAGTTTGAAATGGCGGTTGGACACGAGGCGAGAGCAGGAAATGTGCGGAGGCTTTGATGGACGTCCAGACACATTTTTGAGTTTTGAGGAAGACATTAAAGCTGGAGGTCGTAAGGAGGAGGAGGTGGAGGAAAGGGAGGAGATGGAGGAGGAGGAGGAGTCACTTAAGGACATGACAAACTGTAGAGTTGGGGATTTCGACTAGTCCTGCTTTAGTCCTGCTTTAGTCCAGCTTTAGTCCAGCTTTAGTCCAGCTTTAGTCCAGCTTTAGTCCAGCTTTAGTCCTGCTTTAGTCCTGCTTTAGTCCTGCTTTAGTCCTGCTTTAGTCCAGCTTTAGTCCAGCTTTAGTCCAGCTTTAGTCCAGCTTTAGTCCAGCTTTAGTCCAGCTTTAGTCCAGCTTTAGTCCTGCTTTAGTCCTGCTTTAGTCCTGCTTTAGTCCAGCTTTAGTCCAGCTTTAGTCCAGCTTCAGTCCAGCTTTAGTCCAGCTTTAGTCCAGCTTTAGTCCAGCTTCAGTCCAGCTTTAGTCCAGCTTTAGTCCTGGTTTAGAGGAAACTGTTTCCAAACTTGTTTTTGTTTGTGCCACCAATTTTTTTCCCCTCGAGAAATTATTTTGGCTCTAAAACAGTTGCTTCTGTCACTAGTGTCATGTATTTGTGATGTCACATCTTTAGATCAAAGAGAGGACCACCCTCACTCAGCCAATCAGCTCTCAGCCCAAAGAGGCAGATAGTGACTCACAGGGCTGGACTGACAGAAGATGAGGAGAGCAGGTGTTATGTTTGAGACAGAAGTTACGTCCCTCAGCTTTAAACCCAGCACTTGTTTAGCTCCACATTGTTCCTCACCACAGAGCGACTTGCTGATCTAACGTCCCTCGCCGCTTCTCTCAGACCTGGTCCAGTCCTGGTCCAGTCCTGGTCCAGTCCTGGTCCAGTCCTAGTCTCTCCTCCTCCCTGTACTCTTTAGTCTGAGCCTATAGTACACAGTGTTCCCTATATGGATCTGCACTGTCTCATTCTGCAGACTCAGCCTCAGATCTGCTTTAAACCTGCTTTTGTCCTGGTTCAGTCCTGGTTTAGACTTGGTTTAGTCCTGCTTTAGTCCTGCTTTAATCCTGGTTCAGTCCTGGTTTAGACTTGTTTGGCTCTGGTTTAGTCTTGCTTTAGGCCTGGTTTAGTCCTGCTTTAGTCCTGCTTTAATCCTGGTTCAGTCCTGGTTTATTCCTGATTACGATCTGGTACATCAGCTGTTAATCAGGGATTGAGATCATGAAAAGGTTTTTTAAAATAATGATTCAAACTAGTGACTTATAAAATAGACTTCCATGTAAAAGTAAACTCCTCTCACTCAGTAACGTCATCACCGCTTTGGGTTTAAATTTGATTTGATCAGTTTGCCTCAGAAACCGTCTTAGCAACACGGAAAGGAAAACGGCTCCAACTTGTGTTCAAATCAGCTTTTCCTGCAATAAGGCTAACACTGTGGTGATGTCACACTGTGGTGATGTCACACTGTGGTGATGTCACACTGTGGTGATGTCACACTGTGGTGATGTCACACTGTGGTGATGTCGCACTCTTGTGATGTCACACTGTGGTGATGTCACACTCTTGTCAGTCCACTCCTAACGTACCGTCTGTGGTTTGGGCAGAAGGGTTGGGGGGATGTGTAGCAACGACTGAGCGGGAGTTGGGACCTGCAGGCTCCTGATTGGTCGGTTGTTGGGGTCTGCTCTCTGATCCTCACAGCAGTGTGTTTGTGCTCTCGCAGCTGGTTCTGGTTCTGGATCTGGCTCTGGACCCGGTCTGGTCATGGACTGGAGACCGTACCCAGACCTGGAGGCGGCTGAGGTCCTGGTCCTCATGAGCTCCTGGGGGCAGACACACAAGCCCCGCCCCCTCACGCCCACATGTGACTCCTGCGACTCGCTACAGATGGAGACCAGCGAACAGCGCGACCTAGTGGCCCTGTCCTCACTGGTACGACAGTGTTTTACCTGCTTAGACATGTTTGTACCTGTTCAGACCAGTTCAGACCGAGTTAGACTATTTAAGATGTGGTGGCCCTAATAAAACTGGTTACTGGATTGGACTAGTTTTAGACTGGTTTAGACCTGCTTTAGTCTTGCTTTAAACATAAAAAGTTTAGCTTTAGCATTAGCTTTAGCTTTAGCATTAGCTTTAGCATTAGCTTTAGCATTAGCTTTAGCATTAGCTTTAGCATTAGCTTTAGCATTAGCTTTAGCTTTGAGAAAGCCTAGTGTTAGACCAGCATTATGCTGTGTCTCACAGCTAATGCTAAAGCTAATGCTAATTTTGCCACAAAATCATTAACATGATAAACGCATCTCTGTCTCCAGTGCATGACTCCGCCCCATAGCCCGAGTTTTCCCGAGACATCGCCCACAAGCTCAGCCCCCAAGCCCCCGCTGGCCCCTCCCACTCTGAGCCGCGCCATGGCGACCAGCGTGATCCGCCACACCAACTTCCTGCCGAAAAGCACTCCACAGACTCCACCCACAGAAGTTGTGTTCCCGCCAAATAGGGCTCCAGTCCTGACTAAAGAGGAACATGTGACGCCGCCACAAAGTGCTCCCGCCGCTCAGAATCCTCCTACAAACGTCACGATCGTGCTTCACAATGTCCCCTCGCCAAATGGTGCTCCACACGTTCCAGAAGGCATCTCCAGTCTGCCAAATAGTGCGCCAAGCTCCCCTCCCTTATCTGCCTTCCTGCAAAATAGTGCTCCGAGCCCACCCCCGCCCCCCACTCTTCTCTTCAGTGCTCCAAAAGTTTCTTCCTCTCTGCCAAACTGTGCTCCATGCATCCCCACCGTCACGCTCGCATGCAGTCTGCAAAATAGTGCTCCAAGCCTTTCAACAGTCACCTCCGCTCTGCCAAATAGTGCTCTCCATAACAACAGCATCAACATGGACACTTCCTCCTCAGGCGAATGCCCAAATTTGGAGGCGGCGACAAGTGTGCAGGGCCCGCCTACCTCGCCGCTGCTGTGTCAGGTGATCCCAGTGGGCGGCCGTTCAGGTCAGGTGATACAGGTCGTTCAGGGGTCAAAGCAGATCCTGGTGAGCTCCGGAGTTCCTCAGGGAGCGGTGATGCTGGTGGTGCCACAGACGCAGGTGAGTAGCTCTCTCTCTGGGTTCTCTCTAATTTCTTTCTAATCTCTCTCTGGTCTCTCTCTGGTCTCTCTCTAATCTCTTTTTAATCTCTCTCTGGTCTCTCTCTAATCTCTTTCTAATCTCTCTCTGGTCTCTCTCTGGTCTCTCTCTGGCCTCTCTCTGGCCTCACTTATGGTTCTGTTTGATTTTATAGGTGGGCTCGCGGGGCAGTACTGTGGTCACTAAGCTCCTCCCCCTCGCTCCGGCGCCGGTTTATGTTGCAGCGGGAACGGGCTCTGGGAACGCCGTCACCACGGTTACGCCAGCGGTGGAGTTCTCGCGGCGACGGAACTACGTCTGCTCTTTCCCCGGCTGTAAGAAGACTTACTTTAAAAGCTCTCACCTCAAAGCACATCTGCGGACGCACACCGGTGAGTCTGGGTTAACCTGGGTTTGTCTGGGATAGTCTGGGTTAGCCTGATGTGTGTGTGTGTGTGTATATTGTTTGTAATGTTGTGTTGTTGTATTGCAGGGGAGAAGCCCTTCAGCTGTGCCTGGGACGGTTGTGAGAAGAGGTTTGCGCGCTCTGATGAGTTGTCGCGTCACCGCAGGACGCACACTGGGGAGAAGAAGTTTGCGTGCGCCGTGTGCGAGCGCCGCTTCATGCGCAGCGACCACCTCAGCAAACATGCTCGTCGTCACATGACCAAACGCTCAAGCTGGGCCAGCCAATCACAGAGCAGCAACTGAAACCAGCCAATCACAGCGGCGCCTGCAGCTAAGCCCCGCCCCCACCGCACATTCCGCTACAGTGTCAAAGTACAGCCCGCCCCTGCTCCCCCCGCAGGCTCCTGATTGGTGGATACTATTCATTCAAATCCTCGAGGGTCCTTTTCATTGTTTTCAATTGTCCGGTAAATCTTACTGGTCAGAGTTTTGCCAACGGACGGAAGTTTTAAATATAATATTGTTGGAAAATACCGTCTGCACACAATAGTCAGAAATATACATTATTTGAAGCTGGAGTTGGCTGGATGACACTAGAACTCTCAGAGTAGTCAATTTGACAGCTGTTAGTTTTGGAAGTGGACAACATTTTTGGTCTTCACAACCTGGGTCTGACTACTGTCAGCAGTTGGCATTAGCTTTTAGCGTTAGCCTTTGACCAAACCATTGTTACTGTATTTCAGATTTATTCTCTAGTTTCAGCTCTTAGTAAAAGTGAGTAAAGGTAAAAACCTCATGAATCATTTACTTTGAATAAAACTCAAGTCTTACAGACTCTAAACTCCGCCTCCAGGAACAGTTTAAAGTAACTCTCCAACTTTCATTTTGTACAAATGTTTAAAAAACTGAGATTTATCTGTTTGAAACTGGAGCGGAATGTGTCGACCTCAGCGGGCGCCAGGTCTCAGGACGGTTTCAGCCACTTTCAGCCTTTTCTTACAATTCAACAGGATCGGAGGCTACGACTGCAGACAGGGCAAAGGGGGTGCCAGGTTGGACGACAGGAGAATGTAAAAAAGCACTTTCAGAAGACATGGTTTAGTTTCAGTTTCAGCCTTTTATTTTCTAACTGAAGCCTCAAACTCGCACAACATCCTTTAACATGAGGGACAGGAATGTAGAGGAGCGTTTACAGAGGGAGCTCGGAGTACAGCCGCTGCTCCTCCACATCAAGAAAGGTCTCTAACAGAGAGTATTCTATCCTCGTCACAAACACTTAATAATAATAATAATGATGTGGATTAGAATCTTCCTCAGCCTGAATAGAGATTACACATATAGAGATAGAAGATGGTGTGAAGGCCTCTGATTGCTTGTAAATACTGCGATGGTTCAGAAGGAGTATTTAGAACTTCAGTGATTGGTCAGAGCGGATCACAACCTGTTGTCACAAAGTGAGCAGAGCTAGCTTCACTCCAGAACTTGCTATGTAGGGTTAAGCCTCGTGGATCTATGCTAATATCTGAATAAGGTAAAGCTAGCAAAAGGCCCAGTGCTTGTTCCACTCTGACTCAGGACCAGGAGAGACAAAATTCCTGTCGGCTTCTGCTAATGTTTGGGGTAGCGAACAGATCGAGTATGGACCAATGAGCACAGGCCACCTTATTCAACAGGCTATAGACTGGACAGTGCATACCCACCACAGTGATTGCCCGAATGCAGAAGAATCTGATTTGCCTGCTTGTATACAGTCCGTGTTAGCATTGAGCTAGCAGTTTACCATTAAGCTAGCAGGTTTGCATTGTCCATCTGTATACAGTCTGAGGTCCAAACGCAGTCGTAGCCTCCTCCTTTCAAACTCAGGACTTTGTTATATTTCCACTAAAGCATTTCTCTGTCTGAACTCGGCTGCTATCATACACACACATACACACACACCTATACAACATACATACACACACGTACACAACATACACACCCACACCTATACAACATACATACACACATATACACCCACACCTATACAACATACATACACACATATACACCCACACATATACAACCACACACATACATACACACACGTACACAACATACACACCCACACATATACAACCACACTCATACATACACACACATACAACCACACACACCTGACGATGCACTGGATTTTGTACACAGCTGTTTTGTACTTTTGTGTATAGTAATTAAGAATAAAGACTCATGTTTACTCCATTTTGTAACGTTAGAAGAATGCACTTCTCTGTTGGGTTTTGCCAAAGCTTTAGTCGTTGTAAATACTGTACATATATATCTCACTGTACATATATATCTCTATCTGCTGGTGCTGTGTTTCACTGTGACACTACCTGTTGTATCATACTATTTAAAGCATTGTGTTTCCATTGGCCCATAGTGTAGCCAGGACATGAAGATACCTCATATTCAATGTTATTCATCTGATATTTGCTGTTAATGTAAGATTTTTACTCATTAAAGACATAAAGTGGACGTCTGTATTTGTGGTCACTTTCTGGTTTCCTCCTGTGTAAGTCTAAAGCAGGACTAAAGCAGGTCTAAAGCAGGACTAATGCTCAACTTGAGTCCCAGCCTCAGACTCTGAACTGATGTGACCTGATTGTCCTCAGATTTAAACTCTTCACAAACACAAAACAGAGACTGAGTCTGAGTCTAAATGAGGACACTGGTCCCTCCTCCTCAGGTCACGTGAGGTAAACAGGGAAACTGATGATGACCTGCAGAGACTGCTGCAGTCTCAGGTCACATGAGGTAAATGTGTCTGAGACCAGAGAGAGACCAGAGAGAGACCAGAGAGAGAGACCACAGAGAGACCAGAGAGAGACCAGAGAGAGATAAGAGGGAGATAGACCAGAGAGAGACCAGAGAGAGACCAGAGAGAGAGACCAGAGAGAGACCAGAGAGACCCCAGAGAGAGAGACCACAGAGAGACCAGAGAGAGACCAGAGAGAGATAAGAGGGAGAGAGACCAGAGAGAGACCAGAGAGAGACCAGAGAGAGAGACCAGAGAGAGACAAGAGGGAGAGAGACCAGAGATAGACCAGAGAGAGACCAGAGAGAGACCAGAGAGAGACCAGAGAGAGACAAGAGAGAGAGACCAGAGAGAGACCAGAGAGAGAGACCACAGAGAGAGACCAGAGAGAGAGACCACAGAGAGAGACCAGAGAGAGAGACCACAGAGAGAGACCACAGAGAGACCCGAGAGAGAGACCAGAGAGAGACCAGAGAGAGAGACCAGAGAGAGAGACCAGAGGGAGAGAGACCAGAGAGAGACCAGAGAGAGAGACCAGAGAGAGAGACCAGAGAAAGACCAGAGCGAGACCAGAGAGAGACCAGAGAGAGAAACCAGAAAGAGAGACCAGAGAGAGACCAGAGCGAGAGACCAGAGAGAGAGACCAGAGAGAGACCAGAAAGAGAGACCACAGAGAGACCAGAGAGAGACCAGAGAGAGAGAGAGACCAGAGGGAGACCAGAGAGAGACCAGAGAGAGACCAGAGAGAGACCAGAGAGAGACAAGAGAGAGACAAGAGGGAGAGAGACCAGAGAGAGAGACCAGAGAGAGAGACCAGAGAAAGACCAGAGCGAGACCAGAGAGAGACCAGAGAGAGAAACCAGAAAGAGAGACCACAGAGAGACCAGAGAGAGAGACCAGAGAGAGAGACCAGAGAGAGACCAGAAAGAGAGACCAGAGAGAGAGACCAGAGAGAGAGACCAGAGAGAGAGAGACCAGAGAGAGACCAGAGAGAGAGACCAGAGAGAGAGACCAGAGGGAGACCAGAGAGAGACCAGAGAGAGACAAGAGGGAGAGAGACCAGAGAGAGACCAGAGAGAGAGACCAGAGAGAAAGACCAGAGCGAGACCAGAGAGAGACCAGAGAGAGAAACCAGAAAGAGAGACCAGAGAGAGACCAGAGAGAGAGACCAGAGAGAGACCAGAAAGAGAGACCAGAGAGAGAGACCAGAGAGAGACCAGAGAGAGACCAGAAAGAGAGACCAGAGAGAGACCAGAGAGAGACCAGAGAGAGAGACCAGAGGGAGACCAGAGAGAGACCAGAGAGAGAGACCAGAGGGAGACCAGAAGGAGGCAGACTATAATGGACTTGCAGACATGCTAATGAGTTCATTATTATGAGTCACTGATTTGCATGTCGTAGGTTTCTGTTGAGCTCTTTGTAAACACAGATCTCCAAAAGCCCCAGGGATTTCACAGCTGAGTCTGGGTCGCTCCAGGACTGTGACCTGCTTTAACCTGCTTTTTAGACCTGCTTTAGTCCTGTCCTGCTTTAGTCCTGCTTTAGACCTGCTTTAGTCCTGTCCTGCTTTAGATCTGCTTTAGACCTGTGTGTGTGTGTGTGTGTGTGTGCGTGCGTGTGTGTGTGTGTGTGTGTGTGTGTGTGTGTGTGTGTGTGTGTGTGTGTGTACATATATACGTGCTTGGGTCATATGAGGTAAACTATATTTACCCTCTCTGTTACCGTGCTTCCTGTTTTAAACACAGAATTTCCTTTTGTTTGTGTGAATCTGGCAGAGCAAGGATTAAATATATCATAGATTAGAGTAAAGATGATAGATGATAGACTATAGATAGATAAATGATAGATGATAGATTATAGATAAAGTCCTGGAATACTTCTCTGAACCACTTCCCATCTCCACGTTCTACGACTTTGAGCGTCATGGTGAAAACTGTGAACTGAAGATTATAAAACAAAACCCATTCTTTTTTGTTCTTCAGTCCTGCTTTAGTCCTGCTTTATGTGTCTTTGTGTCTGGAGCCTCACTCTCCCTGTCTCTCTCTCTTTCTCCTCTCTCGGGTCATTTGAGGACGCTGGCAGCTCAAAACTTCATGTTTTTACTGCAGGGAGCGCGCCGCCTCAGCGCACGCTACTCCCCCCTGCGCGCACCGCCTTCCCCTCTGCGTCACTATGTGCCTCACTTGGATCTCTGGAGGCTGCATTTCTCCGCGTTTCTTTGTGTCTTTGCAGCACGAGCGCAGACGCCATCTTAGTTTAGGATGCGGGGTGAACGAGTACACCGTTGCTTAGAGACGCCCAAAAAAGTTTGGCTGGTTTCCATGGAGATACTACAGCATCCGCGCGTGCAGAGGTGTCGACAGTCTCTCAGTATAGTGTAATAGAGAAGTCGCAGCACAAGTCTGTGCACATCTAGAGACTGGAAGTTCTGCCCATTCCTCTTTACAAAACAGATGTTAATATTGCATTCCCTGTGTTCCGCATGACCAGGTCCGAACTATGGTTGTGTCCTTAGGCAAGACACATCAGACAAACATACACCAGACTCATTCTATTGAGTGTGTGTGTGTGAATGGTTGATGGTGGTGGGAGGGGCCGATGGCACATATTAGTTGCCTCGCTTCTGTCAGTGAACCCCAGGGCAGCTGTGGCTACAGTAGTACTTTATACTGTGTTTGGAGAGAAAGAAAATGCTCCCCCCCCCCCCCCCCCCTTCTTGAGAATGACGTCACCATCCTTTACTGTTTCACTGAACAACTTTTAAAATTTGTGGGAAAAAAGTTAATTTTTCCAGTGTGATGACATCATGATTAAGGTGAAAAAGTCCACCTGTTCTTCCCTTTGATTACTGTGTGTGGGGGTCTCTCTCTCTGGTCGCTGGTCTCTCCCTGCATGGTCTGACTCTCTCTGGTCTCCCTTCTGGTCTCTCTCTGTTTGTGTGTGTGTGTTAAAATACACTCAAATATATTACTACAACTGATGCTTTGTTATTCCCCAAATTGTAAATTTCGTCTCGCGGGCTTCCATTCTTTATCCTTTGACGCCCTCTAGTGTTTGTGTATCACTGACCTTTTAGGTTCATTGTTAGACTTTAGTTTATTTATTGTGAGTTTTTGTTCCAAAATAACATCGACATTTAATCGTTTAATGAAAAACATAAATGCTACATGCTCCACATCAGCTGGAGCACACATATTATTTAAAGCTCTTTCTGGTCTCTAAGGCCTATCTCTGGTCTCGCTGGTCTCGCAGTCCCGGGTGTGTCCGGCAGGGGGCAGAATAAGGCCATGAATCAGTTTAGGGACTGTTCAAAGTCCGCGTGACCCGAGCTCGAGCGATACTCTGTCAAACAGAAAAATGGTGAGTTTCATAACTTTGCATTGTCCTGGTCCAGTCCTGGTGGTCCGGACCTAGTTCAGTCCTGATCCAGTCCGGGTTCAGTCTTGGTTCAGTCCTGTTCCAGACCAAGTTGAAAAAGACAGGTTCTGTCTGAGTTTATGAGCCTAAAAAGCTGCAGTACGTAACTTTCAGAACACAAGATGAAAACAGATGTTGAGTCAGATTTGTTCAAAACATTTTACTTTCAATACGGGTTTTTTATTAGACTAAAGTTACAGACCCCAGCTTTAAACATGTGTTATTTATTTATGAGACAAAAGTTAGACCCCAGCTCTAAACCCTTCTCTGGTCTCTAGGCCTCCTCGTCTCTCCGAGTCCATGTCCTCCGAGTCAGACCGGGTCAGGACCTTGTCCAGTCTCTGAAGGACCTGGTCTCTGAGTCTGGACTCAGGGCTCCGTTCATCCTCAGCTGTGTGGGCAGCGTGACATCAGTGCGTCTGAGGCTCGCCAGCGCCACGGCGGCAGAACCAAACCAGGTGGGGCAGGCATCCAACCCGGCCTGCGGCCTCGTCTCTTTTCCAAGGCCATCTGGTCTCCTTCTGGTCTCTCTGTGGTCTTTCTCTAGTCTCTCTCTCAGGTCTCACTCTGGTCTCACTCTGGTCTCACTCTGGTTTCACTCTGGTCTCTCCTCAGGTCTTGGATCTCTCTGGTCCCTTTGAGATCCTGTCTCTGGTTGGGACCTTGAACCCTGAGGCTCACCTGCACCTGTGTGTGGGAGACTCCATTGGGCGCTGTGTAGGAGGACACGTGCTGGGGCCACTTCCTGTTCTGACCACAGCTGAGGTGGTGGTGGGAGAGGCCCCTGCGCTCTGCTTCAGCCGGCACCCAGACCCTCAGACCGGGTTCAACGAGCTGGTGGTGGAGGACCGGGACCAGGACCAGGACTGAGACCAGGACTGAGACCAGGACTGAGACCAGGACTGTGACCAGGACTGAGACCAGGACTGAGACCAGGACTGAGACCAGGACCAGGACAATTGTAATTGTTGTGTTCTGAGTTCGATTTCTCCTCCAGACCTTTCAGTGTGGAGTTTGCATGTTCTCCCTGTGTCTGCGTAGGTTTCCTGCAGGTGCTCCTGTTTCCCTGCTCTCATCACTGTTGGAAGTGCTTTGTTTCTGTACTACATAAATAAAGAGACTCACAACTTCAGAGATCCGTCTGCACGACACCTGCACACTGCAAACACACACAAACACACACACTGCATAGTGGACTGACAGAGTGTGACATCACCACAGTGTGACATCACCACACTGTTAGCCTTAATGCAGAAGCAGCTGGAGCTTTGTGCTCTACCACTGGACAAATGTGTTGCTAAGACGGTTGCTAAGAGAAGCTGGAGTTCCCCTGAATGAAGGCCTCTGATTGGTCAGTCCTTATATGGTCATATCTGGATTTACAAAGACAATATCACACATAAGCAGCAGGATCAAAGAGAGCAATAAACCCCAGATTTATGCCCAAAATGATGAGTGAGACACAAACGTTACTGAACAAGAAGGAGAGAGATCAGCCACACTTCATCCATGAGCTTCTTTGAGCTAGTGGGTTAGCATTGTCGTCTGTATACAGTCTACAGTGCGAACACACATCATGGATCTATTAGACACACACACACACGGCCCTCATTTAGAAAACTTGCGCAGAAAAGGGTGTATATTTTGGGTGTGGATTCCAAATACGCAAGATCCAACGTGGGATTTATGAAAGTGTGAGATCCGCCCAGATCCGAGTGTACGCAGTTGCGGCTGTTGATAAATGTGTAAAAAGTCTTTACAGGATGGTCCAAAAGTTGGCTCTTGGCCCAAAGCTCCGTTCCACATGTGTGTCAATGCTGAGGGGGTGGATTTTTTTGGTCCACTCTAGTTTACTCGCTGTGAATTTTTGAAGTCTCTTGTTCAAATGAATGGAGCTGCGCCGACTGACGCATGCGCAGATGCGTTTTTTCCCAATTTTCTTGTGGGCGGGACCACTCGCGGCCATTTTGGATAGCTCCAATAGAGTAAATTTTTTGGCCCATTAGTTAGAACGGCGGAGATAGGCGTGACTCTGTCCGTTAATATATACAGTCTATGCCAAGAATATAACCAAAGTTTTGGCACTTTACAGCCACAACATTCCCACTGTGGCTCCTGTCTTGCCAAGGGCACAACGACAGCAGATAGTCTTGTCTGGGCTCAAACCCACGACCTTCAGGTTCAAAGGCCAATGCTCTACCAACTTCGACACTGCATGAGCACTGCAAGAGCCACTGCCAAAGGCAAGGCAAGTTCATTTGTATAGCGCAATTCATACACAAGGCAACTCAAAGTGCTGAACAAAATAATATAGCATTAAAATAATAAATAATCACAGAACATTAAAAAGAAAGTTGAAAATAAAAAATCCCTCAGTCGTATGCACAGCTAAACAAAACTGTTTTTAACCTGGTTTCAAACATTGTCAGAAAAGTGGCCTGTCTCACATCTTCAGGAAGATTGTTTTAGCAGCATGAATCTGAAATGCAGCCTAGTTCTGACTCTGGGCACTAACAGGAGTCCAGTCCCTGTGCTCATCAGAGTCCGGGCTGGTTCATATGGGACTAACATGTCACTAATATATTTTGGTGCGAGGCCATGGAGAGACTTGTAACAAGCAGAGCTGTTTTAAAGTCTATTCTCTGAGCCACAGGAAGCCAGTGCAGAGACCTGAGGACTGAACTAATGTGGTCGTACTTCCTGGTTCTTGTCAGGACTCGAGCTGCTGCATTTTGAATGTACTGCAGTTGTTTTACAGCCTGTTTGGACAGACCTGTGAGCAGGCCATTGCAGTAGTCTAACCTACTGGAGACAAATGCATGGATGAGAATCTCCAAGAGAGCCACTGCCCAACAGCCAGTTGCCAGAGTGGGAATGTGTGGTGGGAATATGTTTATTGTTGTCCACATTTTCAGTTTCATGCATGTTTCTTGCGTGTTGTGATGAAGGTGAGGCCATGTCCATTGTTCACATGTAGCTGGGTATTTTAAAAACTGAATATTTCCCTCTGTCCGTTACTCCGTTTATATAATAAAGGACGTCCTCTGACGTCCTGTCCTGCTGGGGAAAACACAAAAGTGGGCGGAACTTTGATGCTAACGCTGGTACTTCAGTAGCAGCAGAGGCGTTCCAAGGGTACCCTGGGGCCCCAGGCAACATAGTCCTTGGGGGCCCCAATACCGACCACATAAAAAGGTTTATATTACAGTAGGTATAAATATATATTTATAAATAAGGTAAAATGCAATATCTATTACTTGTTTACATTAATATAAATTAAATGTAGATCATTTCTTATTTTTTACAATAATGGATAGGCCTGGGGCCTGCCTGGCAGGCTGTACAGTCTACCATAGGAAATTGTGAATATTTCAGAACTTATCGTGACACAAAGCTATGGTCTAGTGGAGCGTCTTAACCACTAGACCACCGGTTCTGCTGATATAACAATGCCCCAGAAAGGGTTTTAATTGTTAATAAACAAAGTGGCAAGTTTTGCATCAGACAAAAAGTTCACTGCAGGTAGCTGTTGTAGCCTGTAGAAGTCGACCACTTGTGTCAAATCAGTCGGTCCTCGGGGGCCCCCTGCCGGTTTGAGGGCCCCAAGCAGCTGCCTGCCTTGCCTGTTGGCACGGGATGCCTCTGAGTAGCAGCACTACTTCAGTTATAGTAGAAACTCAGGATGAAGACATATGTCCACAAGCACTGTGTCCCCGTCCTCAGCCCTGGTTAAACCCTGGTTAAACCCTGGTTAAAACCTGGTGTAGCTCCTGTTTTGGTTGTTTTCGAGCATGAGTTTTTTTTATATATTTGTTTTTGATTGTTGTCATGTGGATGACAGGTACAAACATACAGTCTATGGTACTAACAAAGAAAAACATCTCCGGTTTAGCAGATACCTGGCTACGTGTGGACACCGCGGTAAAGTGGCCCTGCATTTCGTCGGCAGCGGTAAAGAGGTCCGCACTTTGAAAGCGGTTGGCTCCTTTAGGCTGTTACTTACGGTAAACGTGGAACGGGGAGCCGCGACGAGAAGCAAGCAAGATGCAATTTTATTAATAAAATCATTAAAAAAGAACAAAAGAGTTTGGCGACTACTTTCACTTCCCACTTGTTCACAGTGATGCCCTCTACCACTGTGTAAAATATAATTCACTTTTACTGTAGAAATTCAGAGAAAATTAGGGTCAAAGTGTGCCATTTTAGTCTCAAAAGCATTTTTTAAAATTATTTTTTTTTAAATCTAAAAGAGTTCCCTGACTACTTTCACTGCACACGTGTTCACTAAGATGCCCTCTACCACTGTGTAAAATATCATTCACTTTTACTGTAGAAATTCAGAGAAAATTGGGGTCAAAATGTGCAGAATTGGTCCCAAAAGCACTTTTTTAAATTCATTCATCAAAATCATTACTAATAATGATTTTATTAGTAAAATTGCATCTGGCTTGCTTCTCGTCGCGGCTTCCCGTTCCACGTTTACCGTAAGTAACAGCATAAAGGAGCCAACCGCTTTCAAAGTGCGGACCTCTTTACCGCTGCCGACGAAATGCAGGGCCACTTTACCGCGGTCGTGTGGACAGGGGTGTAAATTTACACCACCTACAGACTCGGTGTATATTTTGTACCTTAGAGACACTTACGCTCACATCCAGATCGAAAAGTGTCATTTTTGTCCGTACACTCATTACACCCTGTGTGACGAAGAACGGCCCTAGCATTTAAGTTGATTGACAAGTGAATTAGCCAATCTCAAGTGTTCTTGTTCTGTGTTTGATTGACAGCTAATTCGGGCCAATCAGAAGTGTGTATATTGAAGGTGCACTGAGAGCACTACGTTTGCTAAGTTTATCGTTTGCACAGTGTTTTTACGGACCACGTGGTTGTTCTCCGTGTGCGTTATAAAAAAGTGAGTAGTGGTTGGACTGAGGTCACATAAATGAACCCTGCTGTACTTATAAACTGTTCATAAGGCTATTATAACATAAGTGAACTGTAGGTATATTTTAGGCACATTTGAATATATGCTCCTTTGTTATTGAGTGCTGCTTAGAGCTAATATGCTAACCACTGTGTGCTAAATGTTATTGGTGTACATAATGCGTTAGTTAAGTAACTCATTCTAATTTAGACTTTCTTTCTGTTATTTGCAGGACCACACACACACACACACATAAATATAGAACCACAGAGATATAGATATCTGTTGTGAATCAGTGTGCTATACTTTAATAAACCCAAAAATTGGATCATCTCTACACAGTGCATTCTTACCGATACTCTCTGGTAGTCACAATCCATTACAAACCAGATAAACTTGCTCTCTCCATAACACCCTAATTTGGCCTTACGCAAGGTTCATAACCGAGGCCCACAGTCTTCAGCTACGAAATGAGCCGTGAATAATTGACCACAGGGAGCGCCGCTGAGCTGATTCTGGGCCCGCCATCACAACAGGGGCCTTCATCCTTTTAACTGCATTTAACCACGATTATAGACACGCACACACACACACACACACATACACACAAATAGACCCCAGAAATACCAGTGATGACCTTAAACTCCGATTGCGTTTATTTGCCATTTGCAGTAAAAAAAAACACATTGGAATACATTAGCAAAAAGTCACCAGTGTGCACAGACAAATACAGACATAAAACAACATTAAAAGTATGGAAATAAAACAAATAAGGGCACAACGACAGCAGATAGTCTTGTCTGGGCTCAAACCCACGACCTTCAGGTTCAAAGGCCAATGCTCTACCAACTTCGACACTGCATGAGCACTGCAAGAGCCACTGCCAAAGGCAAGGCAAGTTCATTTGTATAGCGCAATTCATACACAAGGCAACTCAAAGTGCTGAACA